TTTATATATTTCTACTTTTTTTTATATAACTGAGTTTCTGTATTTTTAATGCAAATGTGGAAATAAATTTAATTCAATTCGATTCAATTTCATAAAATGCCAAGGAGTACACGGAGAACCTAACGTTAGCCTAACTAACAAGTAAATGACAAAGGCGGGAAATAATGAATAAACTAGTATGCTGTATGTGGATGGGAAAGACAAAAGCAAAAGTTGCCTGTCGGCGTTAATCCCCAAAATAAATGTAAACAATCAGGGACCTGTTTCAACAAAATTATTATCAACAATAACAACTCTCATATTTCCTTAGAAAATCTGCCAACAGCTAATCAAATGCAATGATTACAATAGCATATAACAGTTCTTGTAACATATTACTGAAATCAAGGTTTTATGAAACGGGGCCAGGTGCGTCGTGCATGAGGCATCATTTCGATTGCGTCGATACATGTGCTAATCAGTCCTCTGCATAAAATTAACGCATGCCCAATTCGACGCAGCTCATTCACTATTTATTGTGCAGTGATTCCTTAACACAGTGCGTCAGAAACTGTTTTAAAAGAATATATAAATCTAATTTTATTAAAGCATACACCCTCTGAGTCTGCAAAGCGGTACGTTTGCCTTGTTTTTTCTGTCTTCCTGTTGTACCACTTAATTTATACTTAATTATTGATATAGTTTGGGGACAAGCCTTTGATAGGCCTTTGGCCTTGTTTGTCCCCCCACATTTTGATTCTTCTGTTCTGTTTGTGTTTTTTGTTTGAATTGACTTTGTATTGTAAATGTTTGTTATTGTGATATTTATCAGAATGTGAAAATAAAAAAAATTGAAAAAAAAAAAATGAAATTGAAACGTGCACGAGGCGTAATTTTTATTACGCCGTTACATGCGCAAATGACGCATCATGTGAGAATAATATAGTTAAACTTAATATACAATTCAAATGAAATTATTTTCTAATGCTTAACTTTATCCTCAGTTTTTCTAGAGATAGAGGTGGTATGAAAGTATAATTCTCTTTTCTGCGATCGATACTTCATTTAGATGCAAGCAGCATATTATCATAGGCATAATAATGTTCGTACACTAACTTGTTTATATTGTTATGGCCACTCCCAATACATTGGTCGATGATTGTTTGATGACTTTTTTTTTACCTGACTGATAAGGAAGCAAGGATATGCTTGCAAGTAAACAAGCAGGAGACCGACGGCTTTAAATCAACGATAAACGAGTGCATTGACTTGGTTTCGAACCCGGGACCTCGCGGTTACGAGACCACTGCTCTGCCACTGAGCCATTCCGCCTTGCTTTCCAAGTTTTTGCCTCCTTCTGTGATCTGGTTATTTACTGTACTGACCTCTATGTTTACCATATTGTACCGATAATGAGAAGAATTAAAATTTCAATTTCAAATTTAAATTCTTTGAACTGGTCTACGTATTTTTAAATCATAACCTAATTCATAACACAATGTAAATGACTTACGAGATACTTTTAATGACAATTAACTCAATGTTGAAATATAGAAAGATATATATTGAGAGAGAGATAGAAAAAGAGGCAGTGAATGTTACCATGGTTACGAATATGATATGAAGGATCAACAATTTGAAGTAAATATTCGTTATTCTGACCCTATTGAGACAATATCTCTCCCAGGCTCGGTAAAAAGAATGCCCAAAGTATGGTTGGACCCCACAGTACTCTCATGCTGGGCAAAATTTGCCCATTTTTAAAAGATTGTAAGCTTTTTAATTACTTTGGGTATCAACATACATATAAATCCACCGAAAAAAAAAGAAGACAAATTTTTTTTTTTTTTTTTTAAAGTAACAGTCGTTTATTATAATGAAAATTACTAAACATACTTTTTATTGGGGTTGGGGGCGGGTAGCGCTGCCCATAGCTTTCAAGCTTTAAAGTGGCGTTCACAGCCGAAGGACTGTATCCCCACCCCATGTATCAAAAGCTGTATTTAACGCCTCATTGGTCTAATAGAGAGAGAAATAGAGAGAGAGAGAGAGAGAGAGAGAGAGAGAAAGAGAAAGAGGAGACATAAGAGAGGGAGAGAGAAAGAGAGGGTGTGAATATGATTTAAAAAAAAAAACTTAATACAATAATATAAAAACTGTATCAAATTCGCCATTGTTCTAATTGTGAAGAGAGAGAGAGAGAGAGAGAGAGAGAAAGAGAGGGGATGAATAGACGTTTAAAAATTACTTAATACAATATTCCCAAAATACGACTTTAAAGTGTTGAAAGGATAATGACTTTTAGCTATAACCGACTTAGGATCAAGTAACCTGATGACGTCAATCTTATAACGTCATGATTAATGTATTTATCGACTATATACATTTAGTCTTCCCTTTGTGTAAGGTCCATACTCACACTTACACTCACTTCATTTGCGCCCTTCTTATTCTCTTTCTTTACTGATTTAGATTGATGGTCTTTCAGATTGTTTTTTACTAGGTTAATTCATACACCTATCTATGAATCCGACATGTGACCAGATGCACAACGAATACATCATAAAACAACATTACACAGTTTTCGTGGACAACCATTATTTATCATTACCAATCGTTATTCCTTTCCTTCAGCGCCATCTCTCGCCCAGTGTTGATAAGCTTCTCTAATCCATTATTATTAATAGTAATAATACTCAGCGTTTATATAGCGCTTAAAGACCGTCACCACTACTGAGCCAGAAGGGATTAGACCACACAGAGAGCCATCGAGGTCACTGTGACAGGTGGCTATCTCATTAACTCAGCTCTCATTTAACATAAGAAAAAGAGGATCATGGGGGACCAACAGGCACCGATTGGGGAAGTTTTCTTTATAGAGGGAGCAAGTAGCTACAAGTATGGCAGTGTGCCTTTAATACATCGACGATATCTCCAAGCGCTTTACAAATATATTATTACCCCAGTCAACGGATTCAGGCTTGCCCGCACACAGTTATTATAATATCTATTTCTTATTCTAATGCAATATCTTAGCTCCTTGACAGTATACAATTTGTTATGTGTTTCATGCATTAACTCTGACCCTCTACTACATGAGATCTTCTAACATGTTTACAAACTAATACGTCACACGACAAAGCACTTCTCTCAAATAGTGTCATAATGTCTAATCAAATGCAATCTGTCAATCCAAGTCACAGAGTGGTGATTTGTTAGTCTAGGCCCCGTCGATCCCATCGTTTTGTCACATTTCCTTCCTTCTAATGCTATGTGCACCAAGGAAATTCAAACCGGGGCTGTATTTTGAGAACTATGTTATCTTTCATGTTTGAGGAAACGATGTGGATTGTTATAACAACATGATATCGCGTGGGTTAAACAAATATAACTCGTATTACTATAGGGCTCACTCATCCAGCTTTATATTAACCAATGACTTGTTCTTCTAATAATAACACCAACGCACGTACTACAAATCTCAACTTTTTATTAAGGAAATATTCAATAGCCTTGTCCATGAGCTTCCAAACTGTGTGGGCATTACAATGACGAATTACGTAATCTAAGCATGATTCATATGGATGTATTGAAAATGACATTGAGTTGAAAGCAGTGGCGATCGTGTTAACAAAAACAATAGATATTTCAGAATTTGACCAAAGAACTTAAATAAAAACCACACACAATGAAATGTCATTCACAAAGGAAATAGTAATTTTGTGATTTATTCTGATCTATTTCACATCTTTCATGTTCTGATCATGCTGACGTTCACACTTGCTTATAATAATAATAATAATAATAATAACGTTTTATTTACCCAGGGAAGCCACTTCAGTTATGAAACTGCTCTCCCAGTGGGCCCTGCACAATCTTAAGCAAAGTCTCGATTCCTGAATTCTCTGTGATACTTTAAAATATTTCTATAAATGTTTCTATAAATGAAAATTAAATTGAAACGAATGATATCAAACGTCGTTTCTTGAACATGCAATATTGGAAACCGTTGTCATAGCTAAAGACACACCTGTGAAAGAGGATTTCAACATTGGACATACTCTCAAGTTTGACTTGTCTGATGTGATGACGTCATATCAGTCCTATGAGTTACATATGGATGGTGTACGCCAGCTATGATGGTTGCTAGGAAACAGAATTAATAATAAAATCATCGTTTCCTACTAATCACCATAGCTTTGGTACGCCGCTCAAATGATCATCACAGAACATCTTTACAAATCACAATACATTCGTTCATCACATGTAACTACTGACTTAGTAGCTAGGCCTATCATTGATTTTGAGAGTATCGACAACGATTCAATCATTTGATTTAGACTGGTTGTCAACAGGTAGATACTCTGACCACACTTTCAATCTTCTCTTCCTCTAAGAAAGGTATGAAATAACATCAGTCCATAATAACTTATCAAGGGCGGATCTAGGGGGGGGGGGGGGGGGGTGTTTCGGCGGTTTAAACATCCCCCTTGGGCGGCCAAGGGAGAACAAAAGGTGGAAGAAGGGGGGGGGGGGGGAAGAAAAAATAAGAAGAAAAAAAAAAGAAAAAAAAGAAAAACAAGAAAGTAAAACAGTAAAACGGCGCGATTTTGGGAAAATCCTGGATCCGCCACTTGGTCAAACACCCCCCCCCCCCCCTTAGCAAAAAGCTAGATCCGCCCCTGCTTATTAAGAAAATGCTCTATTTAAAAGAAAAACAGTAGGCCTACTGTGGCATTAGTATACAAGTATTGATATATTTGAGATTAACGCCTCTGAGTCTTTGTTAATCAAGCTATTCGTCCACTAACCTAGGCTGATTGCTTCATATTTCAAAAGTATAGGAGATAATTATCTCAACTTCATTCTTCCTACATGTTCTAGTGCACATTTTATTCACACTCGTCTACCTTCACGTGTAATGCTTGTCGCTCATGAACAGCCATTTCTCTTGCGCCGTTCTAAGACACTCAGACATGCATTGTACAAGACATGTCCAGTCACATTCTTACGGGTACGCATACATCATATTGATTCTTGCGTCAACGTGCGTCAACGTGCATCAACGTGCGTCAAGATGCTGCGTTTGTACCTAAAGACTGCGTCTGGACAAGGTCATGTACATTTTTATACCTGAATCTTTTTGACTGGCGCAATGGAAATACCGATTCGCGTGCGACCAACATTAGGTCTACATAATCTACGCGTGTACACAGGGGCGTTTTCACGAAGTGCATCACTGCAATATTTAACTCATAGCAATCTGCAAAATGCGCTGCGTGTTAAGAAAATGCAGTGATGCATGTGTACGCTGCGATGTATTATATGACACGTTTGGAATGTTTCCATTGTCCCTCACGTCAACCTTGGCAATGTATACCAATGTGGAGCACAACCCCTATAGGATGCGCACAACATAACCCCGGCCCAAGTTATGATGTACGCAGCACTATGAAGATTCGATCCACATAGATATACAATAAGAGACGTTGTGTCAGTGGGAATATCCCTTGAAATTATAGTAATATAAGTTGGCAAGGAAAGGCATAACATCAGTTTTGACAATCAAAGTCCACTAGTTAGTTATTACATTATCGTTGAGCACCACATTGTTTTCTTAGAAAGTAAGACATAGACGAAATGACACAGAGAGGATGGGTGAGAGGGGTGAGAGGAGATAAGTAGTGCTTAAAGGGAGTGACCAAAACAAAATATCAGATAAGAGCTTTTAACTTAAAACAATGAATTAAGGAAATTTAAGTGCTTGTACACGCCAAGCAAATTGCATAATGACAATTCCCGAAAATGATACTTTAAGCGTTGATTTGTAGTGTTTACATAAACATTACATATCACATTCTATACACACTTCATAAATATAAGCACATTATGTTATTATCTATCATCTATGCGATACATGATTAAAACTTAGCATCCGTTTCGTATTTGTTGTAAAAACCATGCAATTGAACAGCTAATTTTTTTTTGGGATTAAACTGTTGTCAAGTTTTACAATACATGTATAAGTTCGACCTATCCCTATATTACTTTGTATGACACGTTATGATATCTGACATACAACCCCAGCTAAAACATACAACAATGACTTGATGGCTGTTTTGATCCAGAAGGGCATTAACTCTGTTTTGAAGTAAATGATTTAACGCCCTTCTGGCTCCAAGATGAAGGATAGTCCATTGTTGAACTAGAGTAGTGCAAAGGATGGCAATAGACATCACCGGTTCCTGTTCCTAGCTTCACTCGATTGTCTTTTTGGTTCATTCCTGAAGTTGAACTATTTCATTTCAGGTTATTGAACTCGATTGATAATCAGGTCCATGTAATGACCTCATTAAAACAAAAATTGAATAACAAATCAAGAGCAGTAATGATGGTAAAAACACATGAAACACTGTATGTATTGACCATACTACAGGCAATATTTACCGTACCAATAGTCATTAATTCAAATTCTATCCGTACTTCAACTGTCTGTTCTTGATTCAAATAAAATTAGTTGGTATGACATGCGTACACCAAACTGCAGTATTCAGACTGTTGTTGTTTCTGTAACTGAGATTCTCCATTCTACCATTGAGATTTAGCAGCAAGATGTTGAACTTGGAGAAGCACCAGTCTATTTCGCTGCTTCCTGAGTATATAGGTAAGAAAGGACATGAGGATTGACACAGCTTTAGATTATACTATTTCAGTATTATGTTAAAGACTCATATTAGTGGGCTCTCATGGGGAATTCGACACCATTCGGGTGTTTATCCAATAAAAGGTGTTGTTAATCAATAGGCTTAATTAGCCTTCAGTTTTATAGCCAACCTGCCTTATGTAATGCATTACACTACCCACCCGTCCCCCATCATATGGAAAGTAATTGTCCTCCATTTCCCTAACCCGAAGACTATACTTTGTCAATCTATTTTTAAACACGACTGTTAAAGACTGGCGTTGATACTGACAACAGGGGCGGCTTTATTGGGCGCTTAGCCGCAGTCACAGCTTGATTTACTTCCGTCATATTCCCATACAAATCATTATTTGATTTGCTCGTCACAATATTATTTTCGAAATTCCTGAATTGGGATAAATGGTCATCGATTTCATGGCTCGAAGGGGGGGGGGGGGGGGAGGGGGGGGGGGGGAGGAGCGGGGAGTCAATGCTTTCTTCTCTCTTTTGGAACGGTAGATATTTCTTACATTAATTCTCACACTTGTGTAAAAATGGAATGCGTATGGTTTTGTATAATCGTATAAATGAAACCTAAAGCTTGATTGGAAAGATATACAGGTTACTCTTGTACACGAATATTGAGTGACTAAAAGTGGGTAGTCTACATAAAACATATTGATATGGAAGACGAAGGATACCATGTTTACCTATTCAGCAACTTCACCGAATGGAAGAGCTATCTTCTTGATCAATCCGTCTGCACTGTGAGCTGCTTTCACCCTAACATAACAAGGAAAAAAGTCGAAATTGGTTAATTTAAACCGTCGATCATGATTTTAAATAAAGCTACTAAATTGAATTTCAGAGCCATGAGTTTCCGGGGAATCCCCCGATCATCTTTCCGTCACGTCCCCTAACCTTTACGAGCCCATTTAAGTTCTCATAATGAAGTGCATGCAGTTCATTATTACATGTAACTGACATTTTAACTCTGATGTTTTAAAAGTGATTAGGAAATCTTAGCCACCCTTACGCTCTGCACATATCATGAGAACAACTTGTTTTTGTTGTAGCTCATTATAACAGAAACAAAGTTTCTACCGCAGCTATTCGCAGATTTAAATTATTTGGAGTCTCCATAAACATTTAATCAAATTGTGCTCGACTTTGTGAGGAATGAGGAATGATTATAAGACTCAGATTATCTTTAATAAACACGATGACAAGAATCATGTTGCATGAATAAGGAGGATTGCTATAACTTACTTGGCAGCTTGTAGAGCATTAATACGTGTGTTCAGCTCCTTGATCTGTATCGAAAATGAACACAATAAAAGATAAGAGCCGTGGAAATAGGTAGAGAGGAGTGGTTATTATATTGTAATCACAACAATCCTCGATTCACTTGTATTTTATTTTGTATAATAATAATAATGATAATGCATACGATTTGTATAAGGGGTCAACTCCGCTTGACTATCAAATGCTCAAGGCATAATAATTTAACTTGACACAAAATCTTTTACAGGAACAATGCTGCGGATAAATATTTACATCATATTTCTGTCTTTTTTCCGTCTGTTGGAGATCGAAAAGATTGCCGAAAGCCTTGACGATCTTAGCGTAGAGGTCACGTGCGGCCTCTTTCATCGCTTCCTCGGAGCCTAATGAATCGAGATCTAGGGCCGGGGCACGCTTGGCGAGGGTTTCCTCTTTCTCCTTGGCTAACTCTTCGACTGTCATCCTGGCGAACCTGATACGCTCATCCTAGACGAGAAATAAAAACAAATAGTGTTAGGGTTAGATTAAAGGTATAGACCAGTTTGGAAACGCCCCCTCTCAAAGATGAAATGGAAGCTCTTAATAACAATTATCATATCGATCCGGCCTCGATGTGATCGCGAATGCACTTCAACGTTGAACATTTGGGCATATATTTCTGCTTTTTTGTGAATTTAGGTTGGAATATTGCCATATAAACCTCTAAAGGCAATATTTAAACAATATTGAATGGATATTTGCACCCAAAACCCTTGAAACGCAATTTTACCACTACCGTTCTATATATTTAAGTGAAAAGTGTAGCAACACATTTTGTTCAAGTTAGAGTTCTATAACAACTAAAGTATTCATACCCCTTGTAAATATTATGTTTTTGTTTCGTAAATCAAGAATTAAAATTGCACTTACTGAATCAGGGCCTTCGTTGAATACTTTTACATTGTAGATGTGAGCTTTATATTATGTCACATTATCAAGAAACAAAACAATTTTAACTCATTCTCGACTATCCAAACGTTTGCTTGAGGTTTCGCTTCACTTTCATATAGTCGGTGGCAATACAAATTTATTAATATCCCATACACTGTTCTTAAAATAAACACCGTTTTCGATGACACCTAAACCTGCTCAAAGTAAATATAGTGTAAAATCAGTTGTATGTACATCATTGTACATTGTACACATGATAGTCTATCATACAAGGTAGATAATAAATATATTATTACCGGGATTCTGAAGAGAAACCTTCTTCAATTGAAATGCATTGGTAAACTAATCAAAATAATATATCATTCCTTGAAACGTGAATTATCTGTGCATGTCGTGTGAAGTGTTTTTATTGTAATAGTAATGTTATAGGCCCATATTGGTCGTGCTTTATATAATACATTCTGTACATTCATCGAAACCCATTGTTGTTAATATTAAATGAGAGCGATATTGATGTTTTTTTAAAAATTATAAATAGATTTGACTTTGAAGTCGACAGTATTTTTTAAAGTCAAGTTGATTGTGTTTCATTGCTAAAAGGGCGTTGTCAACGGTGGATTCATGATGCATGTATACTTGGGGATAAATGTGTCTAAAGAATATGCAATATCGAAATGAGGGGAAATCCTTTCAACTTATATGATATATTATTATATTATATATCTCTAAATTTGAACGAATTAAATTAGCTACCAAAAGAGAATTCCATTTTCTATCTGAGGGAGACATGAATACGTGTCTCCCAGAGCCATCTACACACAGAGTTTGGCCAACTTGGATTCACAGGGTCACATCGTGCCTTATATTCTTTTTGTTTTGCCCAACAAAGCAGTAGTCGCCACATTCTGTCCAGCTCTTTGGTAAGGCATTAATCCTCATTACCAGGTTCCTCGGAGAGGACCCAAAGCCATCGGCCGTCTGGTTGCTTATTTACAATCATTTATGCTTTCTTAGCAGTCAGGTAAAACAAAAAAAAAAACCAACCAAGCTCGAACCTGGTTGGCCAAACTCTGTGTATATATGGCTGTGGTGTCTCCTCCCGGTTAGGAATACGAGTTATTTGTATTCTCACCTGGACAGTATTCTTGTAGGCGAGGGGGTTCCTCATAGCACGTTGTCTTTCTTCTCTTTCTATTTTCTTCTGCTCTCTCATTCTGATCAGTCTTTCATTCTCCTCTTGTCGCCGTTTCTTTCGATCCTCTTCGTTCTTCTTGATCCTGTCTAGCCACATAGCTTGTTCATTCTTCCTCTCCAACTGGTAAGAAATTATGTTTGGTTAAAGTAATATGATAAGAATGTGTATATTGTTCCTTTATACACCCTATAAAGTTGAGCCCCTACTTCATTATAAATATTATAAACACAATTGCTAAAATGAAGTATACTAGATATGCTCGTTTGTACTTTTCCCTTTGATATAGATTTTTAAAATATTTGTTATAGAATCTGTCAACACTTAAAGAGAAGATTCATTGATTTATAAAAATAACTTTAATGTCATTAACGCTTAGATATAGCCCCGACATAGCACCTGAAAAGCTTTCCGGTCGCTGCTGAGATATGACGTCAAATTTTGAACATGATGTGCACAAGCAGACGATGTCTCATGACATCTCACACAATTTCAGTGCCTGTTTTGTCATCTTTTCTTAGTTCAGTTATTTCTCTTACTTCAATACCCTCAGGCGAAATGTTTGATCTATTGCCTCACTCTAAACCCCGTGCGTGGTATTATTTGGATGAAAAATGCAAGAAAAAGAAAGAAGAAAAAGGAATCTGTCGCTTGTAAACAAAATAAGACGCCATTGTAATTTCACCTGCATACACCGCGGCATGTTCGGCGTTTTTTTTAAAAATGTTCATTAACCCTATCCTGTGTATTTAGTTTTTCAGAATGGGGGTCATATCCCTTTTTAAATGGTGTAAAATCCCATCACATTTATGTACACTAAACTTTGAGAAATAAAAGCATTGCAATTATGTTCATTCTTTATGGGATGTCGTCTGCTTGGGCAGGGATGGTTCATATTGTGACGGCATTAAAACATCGTTATTTTCCGGCGAATCTCTCGCATATCCCAGATGCTATGGAGGTTGTTTTATTTGTATATTTATAAATCATCCGGTATGTAGTTGACCTAGAACTTGCACGATGGCCATCTGTTAGCTTACCATTTTCTAGTAATACACTATTTGCCATATTTGTGATTTTCTATGAATCCGCACTTTAAATGTCTGGAATGGTATGTAGAGCCGTTTTATTGCTTTGTGACAATTTACATTCAACAAAAATGTAATTAAATTGCAATAATATAGTTGGGAGAATTAAGGAATCGATTAGATCAGTATTTTCCCGAATTTGTATGATTAAAAATGGTTTGTTTTCACTCAAATTGTCAGATCATCTTTAATTGTACATCTAGCATTGACGTCACTACCTTAGCACCACTATCTCTCATCTGAACAATGTTACCAAATCCTTTTAACACACGGAATGACAGATTCTCATTTTGTCACTAATTTGTTGCACTTTCTCACGGAAACTTAATTGAAAAGGATTCGAGATACCCGCTTCGACTTTTTGAGTATTGTCAGATAAAATTTGTCGCACGAATATTTGCAAAATTTTATAAATTCCAGCGACATGAAAGCAAAGCCATGCGACTCACGCGAGGAAATTGAGAACCCCTGCGAACGTTTCGAGATATTTTGGAAATTCTATCTTTCGCAGCCCAGTGATATAGGAGCTTAAAAAGATGGCGCCACAAGTGATCCAAATTATTTGTCTGAAAACATTCATAACCCGATATCTATGACGTCATAAAGCCACAAGTAAAAATCGCATCATCTACCAAACTGAAATCTCAACGTCAAGAGCTTCAACAAATACGAGCAAGAACAATTACCTCGACAGCAGAATGCTAAATGCGACTAAAATGTAGAGTAATTGTTGATTGGTTTATGATGGACTGCCATGGTCTAAGCAGAATGAGAGGTGTTTACTTACACGGTGCTTCTTTAGAGCAGCGATCTCCTCGTCGTACTTCTCGATGACTAACCTCACCATCTTCAGAGCCTGGATGATCTCCTGCTTGAATTCTTGTCTCTTCTATCACATGACAACACAAACAATCAAACATAGACACTCACGTGACAATCACGTGCATGGGTGTCGATCCGTAACTGATACCTATTCATCAGGGGGGGATGATCTATTCATTCACCCCCCCCCCCCCTGATGAATAGGTATTACGTAAGGATCGACACCCATGATCACGTGACATTCACGTGACATTCACGTGACCACATTATTAACAAATGTTATCTGTATACTCGATATACCGCACCGTGACATTCAGTCATAGACGGCACATTCTGTGATACACAGGTGGAAGTGTATTTCTCAAGAGGAGTTTTCAAGAGGAGTATTCATGAAGCACCTCCATCGGTTTGGCAGTGATTATCTTAAATGGACAAAAGATGGACATTTCCATGTTAAAAAGATCTGTGGATAATTGGGGTGACCGGTACCTATTAAAGCTGACTACGAACCGGGGCCCGTTTCATAAAACTTTTTTCAATAACAAAGGCTAAATTTCTATGACAAATTTGCTCTAAGCCAATCAGATGCCATGATTTCAGTAGCTTATAACAGTAGCTTGTAACTTGTTATTGATATCAAGTTATATGAAACAGGGCCCTGGTCTATTGGGACAATCCAAATTTTAAAACTGCAAAAAGTTGACGCGTGACAAAATGCAAATTACAGGTTTAGACAGGGGATAAAATTATTCATAATTAGATGATTAAAACTGCAATAGAAATGTAAGCATAGTTAGGGGCAGACCGGTGGGACTTTTAGATAAATTTCAGCGTACTTCAGTTTGATATAATAAAAATAATAAATTACATTTATAAAGCGCTTAATACAAGGTTTCTTATGATTCTTAAACCAAGTCCGCCCCTGACCCAAAAGGATTTGGGTTAAAGATGACATACAACCATGGCAACTGAATAAAAACAAAGAACATGTTACACCGTCACGTGACAAAGGAAGATGAGTTAATGAGCCCATTATTATGCAAATTAACTATATTGAGTTATCAAATCCATTTTGAGAAATTGAAATTCACTCGAGGATTCATGTCATGCATTTGAGCATGATGCAGTGTTTCATGCAGTCACTACACTATTCTACGGTGGAGGAAAGAGAAAGGGGTAGGTGGCGTGAGGTTAGATATGTTTGCGCAATAATAGCATTACAAAACTCTTCTCTACATATGTGGAAATTCTTTCCTTGACACAAGGTAATTTTCTTTTCTTGGAGGCTAGATATTCAGATCTTATCTAACCTTACCTGTGAGTTAAGGAAGGATTTTGTTTTTGTTTTTTGTTTATTAGTATTTGGTATTGTTTTATTCAAATGCAATTTATTTTCTATGAGCATTGTATCCTCAGTGATTTTAAAGGTATTTGTTGAGCATTTTCTAAGTGTGCCATACAGAAATTTTGTGCAACAAGCTCAGATTTATTTAGTGATTTCCAGTTTATGTTCCAGACAATCTGCCAATTGCCTGAAACACAAGAGAACTGAAGGAAAAGGAAAAGAATGACGGGCAAGCTGCTTTTTTTTGAGTGAAAATAAAAACTCAAGATCCGATAAATATGGTGAGAACAGCAAAGTACTTACAAAGATTGTAAGTACTTACAAAAATTGAAACTACTTTGCCTGCCTCGACGTCATACTGTGCCAGTAAGTCCTTGATTTGCTTGAGAGATTCTCTCGCCCCGAGCTTCATCTTTTCTTTCTTCTTCTTCTGTCACGTGACAACATAGAACATGGACAACATCACGTGACACAACGTCACGTGATGGATGTTAACAATTAGAACGTTGTGGCGACAAACATGAACTCCCAGCGCACGATGTATAAATACAGTTAGGACTCGTCAAAAGGGTCGTTATTTTTTATAGTCTACTAGATTACATTAGAAAGAAACATGCTCGACAAAAACTGTTTAACTAATAGCGTGCTGGTTATTAAAAAAATGCCTGTTTGTTATCAAAAAGATAGTACAGAATTAAGAAATCAAAGAAAACATTTTTTGTGTGGATTTATTCGCATATAACATAGGAGGATGAAATTCATTTACTGAGGACAAACAGTCCCAACATTTTTATATATATAGAGAACATATATTTGCATAAATTCGTACGAGCTCAATGTCAGTACATCATTATATTTATCGATTTTGTTGACCAAGTTAGGTTGAGCGTGGAGGCTAAAATTCAGGGGGATAATTTTAGCCCCAATCGGCCAGTGACTGTCTGAAATAGAGCCAGACTTTAATTCCATGTTTTAGTTTTCACTTCTAGCGTGACTGTTGTACCTGATGTTTATTAGTGATTTGATAAAACACACATGGCTACTATGAGGTGGGGATAGGGTACTCAACCTACATCTAACTAGTGAAACAAATCAATGTTACTGGTATTAATGATACGACAGAGTACATTCGTGGACCTGTTGGCTACACATGCACGTAGTATAGTCGACCTAGCCATGGGATGCCCTGTGTATAACGAGAATAATATAATGCTGTTCGTTTTATGAAAAAAGTACTAGTACAAAATATATTGATATCAAATTATTACGAATATTGTACTCACACAAGATGTTAATATTAATTGTTCTATGATATCAATAAATTATATTTCATTTGTATTTCAAATTAGCTTCTGAAATTGTTGTCTATAATTAGTATTTGATTAATAAATCGATCTATTATTTAGAAGGCGCCAAACGTTCTTGAGGAATCATAATTCGTTAGTTTATATGGTTTTCTTGGCCATTAATTTCTTAAATTAAAATTGTGTTATAACAGCATTTGGATTACAAACTAAACAGGCATAGCTCAGTAGCAAGAATAGGCCATTTTTCGTAATGTAACTAATTGTAATGCAAACGTCTGTTGGAAGTGACTCGATACGAATCATTCCGTAAACCTGTTAAGTATACTTGTATTTCAATAGTCAGAATGCATATTACATAATGACGTGTTACTAGGTGGGACAAGTTACAATGTTAGTGTAACCTAGCAACAACCAATGTATGTCATTCGCATTCTTGGCTATGAAAATACAAATATTCGTAAACAGGCGAAAATCGTGTAATAGAAAAATGCAGGCTTTAAACATTAATTTTTCCAAATGTCGCACGTATCTTCACCATTTTACTTCCACGACTTAAATAACATTATTTTATAAAAAGAAATAAAAGTCCAGAACCCTAATAAGTCGCTAACATGTACATGTATAGTACCAAATAACACCAATACGTGATTATTAGTTGAACGTTTGATCTTTGTTTGACCTTGTTTATTTAACAAGAGCTATTACTCTCCCATGTGTATAGACGCCTGGGTTCAAATTATCGCAAGATGACGAGGATGTTTTTTTCTTCATTTCTTTCAAGTAACTACTACAGAGTATTGAAAGCGACCAGAGAAAGGAAAGAAAAGTAAAATACGAACCTTCTCTTCAATTGCTGTCTTTTCATCCTCCGTCAGAGTGCTATTGTCATGGTACAAAATAATATACAATTGATTTTAGTAGGTATATAATAATAATAATAATAATAGTTCGTTCTGATAATTATATAGCGCTTTTTAGGACCGCAGGCCCTCTTAAAGCACACAATGTTTGCACATTCTCCACTCCTAGGGAGCATTCCAGCCAGGCGTCATTTTTACAAGCGCACACTTGCTAATCTAAGCACATTAACTTTCGCGTCATACCAGGTACCCATTTAACACCTGGGTAGAGAGTGGCAAATGTAGATCAATGTCTTGCAAAAAGGACATTAGTGCCGCAGCGGGACTTAAACTGCGGACCTTGCGATTCGCAGTCCGGTCACATATCAACTCGGCCACGACACCTCTACCAATATATACATGTATATTTTTGTCGTCACTTGTATGCTTCTTAATTTTCCATTAATGACCATGCACAGTATGAATCATTCAAGATTAAGGGAAACAAAGTTCACTACGTCATAATTCACAATTAGAGAACAATGGGAGCGGGCACCAAATGAATTATTAACTATGATTATAACAATGCTAAGCCAGTCGAAATAAATGTAATGAAGTCAAAGATATATGGTGAAAAATTGGCAATACAAAATAATGTTTTGAAAGTTGTTAAGTATGAGTAGAAGAACAGACTTACTGCTCTCCTTCCTGATCTTGATCCGCCATGTTTGAAGTCTATCAATTTCCTCAATTCAGTTAAACCTGAGAACAAAGAAGATACAAAATGTACTATTTATATTGAGGCTAAAATGCATATTATGAATAATAGTATATAATGCTCACCCATAACTCACCGTGGGAATGATGGGAATGATGGGAACGTAACAGATTTCAATCATGAAAGATGATTCACTTGCTTGACTCTTCTTGATTTTAATCAGTCAGCGACTAAACACAGCACCTCATTAGCAGATAGAAAGAGGGAGAGAGAGAGATGATGATAACTACTACGTCGACAATGAAAACGAATCTGTATACCTGTTTCAATGACTGGTAGTGTATCAAAAAACACTCGGCACATGCTGAAAGCCGCAAACAAACTGATATACTTTCAATATCTAAATGCTGATATAAACATTACTTTCATACAGGGATGGGCCAACGATTTATCAAAACAAAACAACACAAAATAGCTATCTTTCTCTCTCATCTCAGCTAACATATTTCCGTTTTTCCCTGGGGTATTTCTTTAGATTCCTTGCGATGTAAATAGAACAGACCGCTTCACTGAAATAGAAATAAGATCCCGTTTGGTCTGGGAGTAGAAGACATCAATCATCGACTGTCTGCCTGGCAATCCACATGATCTCCGTACTTCATCTTGACTTCATATCACATATGGCATAGTACAATTCACCCGCAAATAACCTGAGGTTATCTTCTGCTCGATGTGAAGTAGATAACATTAAGTGTTTCGTTCGTATGTGTTCATAAATGTTATGGGAGTGTATAACATATTCATCAAAACCATTCGGGTGTTCCACGCAATCCTTTCCCAGTCTAATCAGTTATTTTATTTCCTCTGAGATTATATAATATTTACAAATTTAATATCCGAATATTCGACTTAACATTAATAAAAAAAAACCTGACAAAAGCAACCATGATGTTTTAAAATTTATTGAATCTAGCTCTTGTATTTTCCTTGATTATCACAGTTTGAACATAAAGGACTGGTGGGTGTATCATGAATAATGATATTAATATTAAGAGTGATTACATCAGCTGAAAATGCCCCCCCTTTTATGAAGTCTATATACTTCATATATATTCCATGATATGCTTACACAATTAGTATGGAATAAACCATTAAACAATAATAGTGAAATTCCCTTTATGTAACATATAATTCTGACTGATTTTATGATTTGAAGAAGAAAAAAAACATCGGTATTCTCAAAGGGTCGTATACATTTAAAGTCTTTCGTATGAATGTTGTTAGTCAAAGACTGAATGAATGATATTTTCAATGATCATTGTCATTACCAAGCAGCTAAACATAAGCAACCCTGATGTACTGTATGACCACAACCAACTCCTACAGTCAATACTAAAGGGACTTTGTGCTATACACACACGCCATTTTGGACGTTTATTTTCGTCACATAATCTCTATTAGATTGTCCTATTACATTCCACTTCTCTCCTACGCCCATCCCGCTTTAGTCATTGTTAGCGTGTGTGAGAAACAAACCTGTATTAGCTACATACAATTCCTAAAGTATCCATTATGTCAACATTTGACACGTTGAAAGATCTTCTGATTATTGATGAACTATTTAAAGAATTAAAAGCTAATACAAAACCAACCTTATTTCCAGGCTCCAATGTAACGGGAATCGTTGTACAATAACATGCAATACATTGTAACAATATTGTTCTCATTCTGCAAACATAGTCATTTTGTTTTATGAAAATGCAGTTCTCCGGATCTGTCTTCCTTGAGTTTCAAAACACAGCAAAATATTATTGAATGAAAATCTTTTAAACCCTAGCGTGCCTAGGTAGAGCCTCTATCATGACGAAGGTTGTTTGATACCTCAAACATGCTTGAAATATCGCCGTTACTTCACATGAGTTATGAATACATGCTTGCATGTTCATTTCACCGACTGTTCGTGCATATTTGATTTACTCATGGAAATGGCGCAAATAAAGGAATTAATATTGATCGTTTGACTTATTGTATTGCTCTGAGACAATAAAATTCCACGATTTCTGTAGCTTATACTCATAGCAATTGTAGCGGTAAATTGGCTCATGAATTTATAGCTTATTCATGCAAGTACAGTGGTTTTGTTAGATTTGGCTAATAAGACAAAAGACTAATCGTATTACAATTTCTTACATTTTGCACATTGATCTACTGTTGCTGCCTAAGGCATTTACTAAGACATCACACATATTATAACCAAACCTTCTAGTCCCCCCCCCCCGCAGACCCTGCCCAATATGATCCATGTCTACACCCCTGTGATATGAACGACTGATTGCATTGATAAGACACCACACAGGGGTCCTTTACCTGGGGGTGACGTACTGCGCAGCACCCTATGCGCATCACCTAATTAGGGAGTGCCGCACAGCGACACACTACGTGTGCAACACTGCTGGATGGGAGTGCATTGCAATGCGTTCGCATCTACCCTAGACAAGCTACTATGGAGGCACAGCAGGACCATTGATTATAGACTACCATGTGCATACGCCATTCGTCTTACATTTCACTATGTCTGGTTAGTCAAATGTTTTTAAAGCACCGTTTATCGGAATCTTGTTATATTAATTTTTCACAAGGTTGATACAACGCTATATTTCAATTCATACAGGCTTATAAATAAAACCCTTTCTACGGACATTGTTTATCTATTGGTGTCATAATACCATCTCAATCAATGAGTAAGCTCTGAAATTTCGTTTCTTTTTGTCTTTTTGTCTTGGGTGCGTGTGTGTGTATTGGGGGGGGGGGGGGGGGGGTGTGTGTACGTCATCTTCCCCCTTCCGTTGATACACCTCTTATATAAACAAGAAGTCAATATATCTTCGCACTACAGACGAAGTGTGTCGTACAATTCAAGGTTTTATTACCAATGGCGTAGCTACGGGGGCACGAGGGCACTTGCCCCCATTCGACCCTTAAAAAGGTAAGTAAAAACGGCTAGAGGGGTACAAAACGTAATAAATGAAATGATACGACACTCTACAACCCTCACTCGATGACATTGTTTTCTGACATTTCACCCACCTATTACGATTGGTGCACATGCCAGCCTCCCCCCCCCCCTCCGGAGTGGGGGAGGGACCGCATATGTGGTGTCCCCCGTAAAGGGTACTTTTTGTCAAGCCCGTCATTGACTTTCATACCGGAGATAGGGGTGCGTTCAAAAAGAGGGAACATGCATATGCGTACCATAAATAATACTGAGTATGGGGGGGGGGGGGGGCGTACTCATGACACCACTACCCTTCCTTCCCCACCCTCGTCTCCTATAGCTAGTCCCCCTACACCAGTTGTTATCAGGCGTATAATTAAATGAGAATTGAGGTGTTATTCGGTTACACATACATTCATCATAGGGCTGCCAAACATCCTGGACTACCCGGGCGTTCACATTATCTTCTCGGTACAAAATTTTCTCGGTGTACATCGGTTTTTGTAATGTAAACGTGTCCTAATGGAACGTGTGCCGAACACAAAGTATACTAGCTAGTGAGCACACGTTTGAGCTATGTTCTCGACCTACGTCTCCGGAACATAGTTATAACGTGTGCCGAGAACATTTCCTTTGCAAGCATGATGTTAACGTGTGGCGAGAACATTGTGTGTCGAGAACATTACATTTTAAGGCCGAGAACATTTTATGCCGAGCCGATCCTACAATCTGACAGCGCTGTATGGCTGTTCGATAATTAAGTGCGCGTGCGCGTTTGCGTGTGTGTGTATGCGAGTGCTTGAATGAAATAATAGAAATGGACTAACTGTCAGTTTTCTAGTTTGATGTTCATATTTCAATAAACGATAATTCCTGTGATTCGTTAAAATTTATGTATAAAGAAGAAAACATTCTTTGGTAAAAGATATTGGCCTAAACAACAAAACAATCTCAATTTATTTCCTTTTTTAAATTAAACAATATAGTAAAAAAATAAATAGAAAATTGGAAATGGAAATGTATTTAGGCCTATACTTCCACACCATACTAAGATAATCAATAGCTTCAGTCGGTGTTTTGATGAATTACTTTGTTTCAAAACATTTATCGATTTAATCTTATTTGCGAAAAGTCTTATAAATTAGTCTTCATGTCTTCAAATCCATTATGGTGGATTTGATTTTGAAATTTCGTTTCAACTGTGTACACAGATATATACAACAAGTCTTCATTTGATTTCTGCCCGACATTGTCTGTTTCAACGTTGCCAGTTCTTTGTACGAATTTTTTCGACAGTGCTTATCGTGATTTATTGGACGTATTGGTATGTGCATTTTTGTCATTAAACAACAAAGTCCACTTCAATCTGATGAAACATATAATGATAATTAGTGATAAGTTTATTAAAACCATTAACTACTTTCATTGTTTTTTAAAACTTTTTTGGGGAAAGAAAATCATAGCTGAGGGATAAGGGAGACATATGGCGGTAGACGCACATAACATATCACACATCTTGGAAAATAGGGAAGCATATTACTTTCTATAAAATGAGCCATTGTTTTGTGGTTAATTTTGCAAGATTATTGTTATCTCAGGTTCAAAAATCAATTAAAAACTGAAATAGCTTCTACTAGAACAAAAGTTTATATCAGCCAAGAATGATTAAAGAAAGTGTGTTTATCAAACAGGCCTTTGTTTGGAAAGAAGACATTTCTAAAAACAAATTCTCAAGTATCAATCAACATACGTCTAAATCAAAGCAAATAAAAATCAATACAAATTGTTACCTTATTTTTGTATATAATAAGACTCGAAAACATATATTGTGATAATTTCTTAATTGCATTCTAAAATTAATTGCAATACTAATTTGATCACTCATGCCTTCTTTTCAAATTACTCTCCTTTTCTCATACATAAACATGTCATATTATACCAAACTGAATATTAGTGAACGGAGTCGGAGACGAAAATTGAACTTCTAGAATAATTAAAACACAAGGAACCCTTCGAAAATCGAAGGCAACGTTATGTATTAACAAGAAGAGTAAACAATTACCTGCCTACACCGTGTAATTGACGATTTCCATGAATCCCTTAATAATAAGGAATTCGTTGGGTCATGCTTTCTTGACATATCCAAATGCTTTGACTGCGTTGATCATGATTTACTCTTATTCAAACTAGAGAAATATGGCATATATGATAAAGAGATGAAATGGTTTTCAAATTATATTACTGGAAGAAAACAACTAGTTTGTTCCAAGGGTAAGAACTCAGCTATAAAGGAATTATTAGTTGGGGTTCCACAGGGTAGTGTACTTGCCCCTGTCCTCTTCTTATTATTTATCAATGATATATCTGAAGGTCTTAATAATGCAGTATGCTCTATCTATGCTGACGATGTAGTTATTTATGTTACTGGTGATAATATTCATGATGTTACTCTTAATTTACAAAATAGAATGAATGTTTTAAATAGTTGGTATAAAACTAAAGGAACCGTCTTAAGATAAATATAAGTAAAACCAAAACAATGTTAATTACGACTAAGTCATCAGAATGTCTAAATATTTACATTGACCATGAACTCATTGAACAAGTCCATTCTATTAGGTACTTAGGTATTATTATTCATGAAAACCTGAAATGGAATGATTATTTAAGACAGTTATGTAAGTCAGTTGCATACAAGATTTATTGCCTTGGAAAATTAGGAAAATTCTTAAACATGACTTTTGAATACGATATATAAATCTACTATTCAACCTTGTCTTGATTACGGTGTCTTAGTTTGGGGTAACTGTCCTAATAAATTAAAATTACCCCTATTGAGTCTTCAAAAAAGGGCAGCTCGTCATGAAACAATTAATCATGATTATACTAATATTTCTGGTCTTGATCTGATGAAAAATCTGTCTTGGCAAACAATAGAGGATCGACGTGATTATTTTCTATCTACACTAATGTACCAATGTGTCCACGGTCTTGCACCATCCCGTTTATGCAATGAGATTGAAATGTATTTCGACAGACATGGATTGAATACACGTAATGCCAATTCCCTTAATGTTGTGCCGCCTAAACCAAACATTCAACTCTACTGTCAGTCTTTAAAATATTCCGGTGCTAAAGTATGGAATCTATTACCAAATAACTTTCAAAATGCTCAGTCTCTGGATATTTTCAAATTATTGTACAAAAAATCAAAATCGAATCCATTGTAATGACCCCAACCTCTAAGCTGAAACCTTGCATTTGCATATATGACTATATGTTCTTTTAACTTCTACTTGATATTGTTATATGTAGCCACCATACATATTTATAATCATTTTTGTTATAGACCTGAATTGCTATGTTACCATATTTTGTATTACTTTGTATTTATTCTGTATTTTACTTTGTTATACTTGAATTCTGAATACTGAATTCTCATTGTTACTACTTTTTATACTATGCTTTTAATACCAGGTCCAATATGTAAAACAGATTTATTTCTGATCTTGTGTACCTGTATAAATATGTATGAATAAATAAATAAATAAAGTGCTGAAATATAATACGTCATGCAGAAATTCATGCATCAGCCTTACTCGTCCAGCAGAGGCACAGAATATTGCGGCGAACCTATCAACACACGAATTAACAATGTCTCTGACCAACTTCTTACCCAATACCAAACGTTACGAAACCGTGCGTGACGTAAAATCTCCCAAATTCATCGAGCAGGCCGGTACTTACGATCAAGGACGAATAGATTGACAGAGAAGCTGGATAGAAACCGCGGGAAAGCTGGGTAAAAAGCGCGGGAAAAGCTGGAATAGCCGCCTGTGATCTTCTCAGTGTGCTCGCCGCGTTGATCAGGGAGTACATGCACTACTTGAACCGTTAAGTGTTTGGGGGGCAAAGGCATCACCATCACACTAGATAATTAGGATACCTTGCATACCTGGACCTGAATGTGATAGGGGTTGGTTTCACTAGAAGATGGTAGCCATAATATCTATACTAAGCCTGTATGCAATGTGTTCCCTTACTTACTATACCTTGCATACCTGGACCTGAATGTGATAGGGGTCGGTTTCACGAGAAGACGGGAATCATAATATTTATACTAAGCCTTTATGCAATGTGTTCCCTTACATGTTGACTATACACAAGATACATTAAGTATTAACTTAAATAATAATACCGGAACTTTAATGAGTTTCGAGAGAAACTAGTTTATATCATTTTTTTTATTGCATAATCCTACAGTGCATGGGTTGCATGGAAACTTAAAGAAAACTTGCTTATTCATTTCTTATTTGAGCAACATATGATTTTAAAAAAGGTTACAAAATCAGGTGCCATTTCAAAGAGCAATTACATTAAAAATGCGCACCACACACAGACCACGCCTTATGACCATGAAACAGGAGAGGGGTGGACCCAATTCCGAAGAAGATTTTAACCAGCAGATTTATTGTCAAAAAGAAGTTTCAACATTTTATTTTAGGGGCTGATTTACCACAAGTATATCTGCCATAGAAATTCAATTTGGTGAATGGTGGGTGTTGTTATAATACTACATTAGTGTTAATTTGTACTTTGTTCCTTTGCGTGTCAAAAAAAAAGAAAAAAAAAATGAAAGAAAGAGAAAACAAAGTATTTATTTATTTATTTCGGTTTAAAAAGACATATAAATATACATGATTCAAAGGTCCAAGGACCAAAACTGTTCATGTTTACAAATTATACAATACGGTTATAAATAAAGTAAAAATACAATATTGAGCCAAACGAAAGGTATGACAAGTACAATACGAAATAAAGATGACAAAAATAATTCAATTCCATCAATACAATACCAAAATAAACTAAGAGAAAATAGGGTCAGGATCATCAAATTACTAAATAGAAGCTTGGCGAAGAGCGGCAAAAGTTATATAAATAACAAACAGTAACAAACAGTAAAACAAATATAATATGTACAGCTCAAAAAAATCTACCAGGGCCGCAGCTCAACAGCGCCCTCTAAGAATGACTTTATCACAAACAATAAAGAACTGTAACACATACATCATGAGAACGTCACCTTTCTCTTTATGTCGAGCAGAGTGTACATGAGAGCGAGAGCAACGCGAAGATTGAGGACCAAATTACCAGAGGGGGGAGGGGCAGTAGTTAGGGTAAAGGTAAGGTGATGAATCGGCTTACAAGAGGGGGTTGGATCGTGGGGGATTGGTTGGGGTTAGGTAAGAAATTCAAATTCGAATTCAAATTCAAGTTTATTTGGTCGGATTATTTTCAGACACGAACAAAAATACATTGGGACAAAATACATACACTAGTACACAATACCCTGATAGCAGACTGACGTCTTAATGACGTCATAAATTGGTCGTAAAGTGGTAAACTCCTCCTATTTCGTATAGACGACGTTATTACGACGCATTATGACCTAATAAAAAGACGGGTTTTTTCCAATATAATTTTTTGTCGCATGGGCAACGTTATTACGACATCTTTATGACGTTTTTTTTTCTTCTGTAATCATTTTTGTTGTGTGGACTACGTCATACGACGTCTTTCAAAGACTATTATTTGTCATGAATTTTTTGTCGTATGGACGAAGTTATTACAACGTCATTATGACGTCTTTAAAAGACTATTTTTGTCTGTAATTTTTGTCGTATGGACGACGTTACTACGACGACATCATAACGTCTTTAAAATACTATTTCTTCTATTATAATTGTTGTCGTATGGACGACGTTATTACGCCGTCATTATGACATTTTTAAAGAGACTGTTTTTTCCAATAAAGTTTTTGTCGTTTTGACGACATTGTTACGACAACACTATGTTTGTCGTATGGGCGATATTATTATGACGTCTTTCAAAGAACATTCTTTGTCATTCATTTTTTGTTGTTTGGAAGACGTCTTAAAAACACTATTTTCCAATAAAATGTTTGACCCTCGTTTTCTCTCGACCTGCTATCATCTGCACAATTATATTTGCGGGTTTGACGATTGATGATTCCCTTGTATCAAGGCGGTTGTTCAATATATGAAGTGAGCCCTCTACCGGTTTCCCGTTTACAATGAAGGTTTATGATAAACACACTGTCCGTTTGGTAAAAGGATAAATCGGGTTACAGGTTTCCTGTAAATATTAAATCACTTCCGGTAATTCTAAGGAGACTAACTACATGGACGTCATCTCGTGTCCATATCATATTGTAAAATACATTTTTATATAACATTCGTCTAACCCCGAAGCCTAAGTATAGACACCTAGAATACATCTCTAAGATGGATATATCAAGTATTCGCGTATTTGGTACGCAATTTTAATAGAAAATAACAACTTTACAGATATCCGATTGTATTATATTTTTTATTATGTTGTTTCTGGTGTTAACTCCTACCGTAAGGCCGATGAAAAACATTTCTGTTGCAATTGTTTGGGGCAAGGGTATATTTTTCTCCCAGAAATTGACTCGGCTATTCATCAGCAATGAGTTTCCGTGGGTTCGTTGACCAATGCATTCCAAATCGATCGTAGACAAGGAGGAAGTTATCTCTCTTAAATCGTGCACAGATACACAAAGAAATATACCCATTTGTGCTTTCATTATTATAATTACGTGTGTTTGTATTGGCGTTCTTATGTTAGTGCCAAATTGTTATCTTTAGAATGTTCTGAGAGCAAGGCGTTGTTTTGTTTTTGCAGTTACATGACGAGGAAGAAAGAGGAAGTGTCGGCTTGTACACATAAGTCAAGTGGGAAACAGATGTGCGACCTTTGGAGAGGTTCCTAGGTAATCATGTCATATTTTATTTTCTTAACGACAAGACGATATTAGATCCAACGAAAGAATTTCCGCATGGTAATTATCGGGAAATACTATCACTATCGCGATATCATCTCGTTTTAAAGTTTTACAGGTGTTTTTTTTGCAGTAACAAAAGACAATAATTCTCCCGGTGTATATTCCTTTCTCCTCGCATCACCTTCTTTATATTTATCGCTATCTATACTCCTCTCATTTCCTCTATATTTTCACTTTCTCTCATTCTTCTTGTTCCATCTTTGTTTCTATATCTTCATTGTTAGCACGGTTATAACAAGGTATGTAGATTTAATTTCGGGTGGGGCGGATCAAGGCGCATGGGAGGAAAAGGGGGGGGGGGGGGGTATTAATAAGTTTGTCAGTTGTTAATATAAATTATAAATATTCTGCAGCACATAGCTGTCCCACTGAGTTAACTCGTGAATATTCTTGTACCATATTGCATTATATTCACTATTTAATGGGACACTGGTAATAATAATAGGGAGTTTTCGCAAACTCATCGTGGACGGAGATTCTGCGAGAAGCTACTATAGGAACAGCGGGATGACCGCTGAGGTACTGAAATCCAGAACGGGTTTTTGGCCAAATCTCATGGGCGTTCTCAATGACACTCCGAGTGAATCAAGTGCCTCGATAGAAACTACTTCATTCACCTGATAAGAATAATAGTATTTGAGTAGACAGAATCCAATCTGCATACATTAGTTGTTGCCACATTTAATACATGCAGTTTGCATTCTGACTATTGCGAATACTAGACAGGTGAATGAAATAATTTGTATTGAGGGACTTCACAAAGACTTATGTAATCAATTTGATTACATTACGAAAATGGCCTGTTCCCTGCCACGCAATACAGTACAGACGGGACTACACGACTAGCACAACTTGTCTCGACCAAGCCACAAAACGGCTTTTTATCAAATTTCAATTATTTATCTTCCAGTTTTAAACAATTCATGTTATATCCATATTCATGTTGGTATAATTCAGAAACAATAATCGGAAGAAAAAAAATCTCACCGAAGAGCCCTTGGGCTGCCCAAGATTTAATGGAAAAAAAAATAGTGCTCACTGCCCCCATACACCCTAACCCCCCCCCCCCCCCCCAACTGAGCGAAATATTGTTCGGCGCGATTTTTCAAATTTCACCCCCCCCCCCCCCCGCAACAAAAAGCTAGATCCACCCCTACGCGTCGAAATTCGTCATCCTTCGTTATAAAACGACGAAATTCCTAAAACCATCTTTGGTACAAGCTCTCTGATTGGCTGTTTATTCACTTCGAGCGTCATTGAGAACGCCCGTAGGCGCATTTGGACGAAAACCATTCTGGATTTCAGTAGATCAGCGGTCACCCCGCTGTTATTAGGGACTTTTAGATTTGCGTGGACTGAAAAAATGTGACGTCCATTGAAGGCAGTGCATTAAAAGGACGTCGATCGTAGCAATCCCCATTGTCTTCGTGCGAATCTAAAAGTCCCTACTATAGTAGCTTCTCGATCTTGCAGACGAACCGCAGATTCTCTGCCCGCAATGAGCTTGCGAAATACTCCTAATGTTTGTCAAACTGGCAACAACTAATGTATGCAGTTTGGATTTTGTCTATTGAAATACTATGATTCTTTTCGGTGAACGCGTACGTATAGTACGGAGGTATTGCATTTGCGATAGGCCATTTTCGTAATGTAACCAAATTTAATGCATAAGTCTTTGTGAAGTGCCTCAATACAAATTATTTCATTCACCTGGTAAGAATAATAGTATTTCAATAGACAGAATGCAAACTGCATATATCAAGTGTTGCTAGGTAGGTCAAGCCATAATGTTTGTCCAACCTGGCAACAACTAATGTATGCAGTTTGAATAATGTCTATTGAAATACTATTATTCTTACCAGGTGAATGAAATAATTTGTATTGAGGTACTTCACAAAGACTTATGCATTACATTTGGTTACATTACGAAAATGGCCTATTGCAAATACTCCGTACTATACGTACGCGTTCACCGAAAAGCGAAACCGCGTATTGTAACGAGGGCGGTCTGTGTGCGACGGCCGTAAGCCTGAGTGCTCTGCGTCGTAGAAGGTCTTGTCCGTCGCTGAGCGAAAACTCGCTTCTACTAATAATAGTGGGTTCTTGTATAGCGCTCATGTCTGTCAGACTTGACACTCCTAGCTGTGAATAGGCTCAGTACACAATGTTCGTACAGGGTGCATACAGGATTCTGATTTGATGCTTTTTTTTTTTACCTCACTTCTAAGAAAGCATATGTTTACTTGTAAATAAGCAACCAGGTGACCGACGGCTTTAATGAGGACTACTGTCTTACCACAGGGCACAAGTGCATCGACTTAGTTTTGAAACCGGGACCTCCCGGTTAACGAAACCACTGCTCTACCACTGAGCTAGCGCGTCTCCGATGTGATAACTCAATCCTTATCCTTAAAATACTTAATTTATACTACACTTGAAGTTTGTTATTGAAGGAAGTACGTCTATGTTTTGGGAAGAAAGTTATTGTTTTTGTTGTTATGTTTTTTCTTCTATTTTGAATACATGGCTGAAGATATATATCAATGAGGGAAACTGAGAAAAGGACCAAAAAGAAAAAAGTACACCATTCTGCTTGTGAACGCAAGAGGACCCTAAAATGTTTTATATACAGATATATATTGTTATGAGGATAAGGTCTGGTTATTTGGATCAGTATACCTACCTCAAAGAAGGGAAATTTATGGAGCGATACTTGGTTGTCTAGTAAGTCCATGGTTATATTTGTGTTAGCTGCTAAATTGTGTAATGGGGTAGAAGTTTGATCAACTCACATGTTTTTTCATTCTCCCCAAAAAAGTTATTGTTAGTTTGGGTAAAAATCCCGTTTAAATAAGGAAATGATTTCTTTATCAACTCAGTATTAAAGACAATGAATATATAGCCACCAAAATCATTACACTTTTTCATTACACTTTGTAAAGGGACAATTTCGTCAACATTTCCTGGGCACGTGAAACCGCAATAAGGAAGGATTTAGGCCAAACATTCGTTGCCAAATGATGTTTGTTTATAAAGGATAATATCAAAATAGACATCCGATACAAGCTATCGAGATAAAAGTTTGGATCAGACGGAACTTCTTTTCCTCTGGGGAATGTATATAAAGAATATAACGTGAGCTTTTAGGATGAAACCCAAAGTCATAACATGATTATGTATCGAAACTAAAGGAGATTACAACTTGATGCAATTAGTTCCCTCCATTAAAGCCCCACTGTCCTACTTGTAGCTACTTGCTCCCTCTATATAGAAAACTTCCCTAATCGGTGCCTGTTGGTCCCCCATGATCCTCTTTTTCTTATGTTAGTTGAGAGCTGAGTTAATGAGATAGCCTCCTGTCAGTGACCTCGCTGTGTGGTCTATCCCTTCTGGCCCAGTAGTATTGACGCTCTTTAATTTATGAATTATGTTTCATGAAATATGTTGTTTGTTCCATTTTTTTGTTCTGGAATCTTTAAACCACAGTAGGCAACAAATTTGCAGTGTATGCACTTGGAGAGCAAAATAATTATTCTGTCGTACTAATGTAAAGCGCTTTGAGCATGTTTATGTAAAGGCGCTATATAAATATCAACATGTATGTATGTATGTAGGCTATGTACCCTAAGTATCATCTGGTGTTTGCATGTTTTACCATTTGCAATATTGTATTCTATATGTAGAATTTAAACAATTCATCCGTTGGCTACTAATCAAGTTTTGTATTATACCATTAATAAATAAATAACGACAACAAATATGTGCTTTCTCAGGTTTCTGAATTCAGTATTTTTATAATGTCAATGTTGTTTCCTGTCATATTACAGCGTTAACGATTGGCCTTCATGAGAACGTGCAGAAGGTGAAATAAATGATAATAGAAAGTCGTTCCTCGTGCTTTCGGTTTAAAGATTGAGTCATCGAATCGTTGTACAAAGTACACAACAACACTATACTTACTATACTTGATGACATTTATCCTGAATATAGTAGAACATTCCGACTTCATATCCGGTTTCCTTTCTATTTGAAATCTGAAATCTTCTCGTATGTAATTGAGAACAGGAGGAATCAGCACCATTTTATGAAGAAGATGTTTTTAAAAAAGACACGAATTCCAAAGTGCAAATCAAAAGTACTTGATATGTTCTTATTATAAGAGAAGACAGTGATTTAAAGGAGAGTGGTATCGGCATTCAAAGTTAATTTGGTAAAATCTGCTTTTACATTTACGCATCTGAAGCAGGTGTTTGGCCTCATTTTATGTTCGTTTCTTGTAGTCATGGTAGTGCGAGTCGATACTTCTTCAACATTAAAGAATCTGACATAAGATGCTTGGTTGCAGTCTTTTATACACATTATGGTGTACCATACAAAACGATCCTTCAAAATAGTTCATGTTCATGTTGTGGCCGATATCTGAGAACTTTTCTTCAGAATTTCGAGATAGACCGTCCCAAAATGAAATAAAGCCCGAAAGAAAACTATGAGTAAACTATTTCTTTACATAAACTAGAAGTAATATGCTGTCAAATAATACTATCGTTGCATTAATCCATACATGATTACAATTAGTTTAAAACTAGCATGTCATCATCCATTTGTGCCATTTTTTTGTAACACAATAAAAACGTTTGTATCGCATGAGAACCTCACTTTGAGGAAATGTAAGCTTTGACAGATGATTGCGCAAGATTTGTGTTGTGTTAATGCTGTGTATCTAGATAAACAGTTACTAAACAAAAGGAGCGAAAGCAATAACCGGGAAAAAAGGGGGAACAACCTGCGATTCTTCTCCAATTTAATTAATATCCCTCGTGCGATGACAATGTGCCTTTTAAAATTGAAAATAGATGCCATTCTGAGAAAAAAGTTACATAATATGTTGGTACATTTTCTGTTTCTTATATTTGACCATTTGACCATGCCTTTCCCCATCATCAAACTGTAAGGTGCCCCTTACTCTGATTCCTGTCTGAAACATCGCCGGACTCTCTGTTAGCTTTTGAAGTTCAGTTTTTCCTTTAGGTCACATGCGCTCATATTCGGGGGTGATACAACCATGTGTCACTCAAATCTGGCATGAATTGATTTTGTACGTGCCGTCTTCAAGACACTGTTGCTCAGTGAAGCCGTGTATGGGTTGCGGTCATCAATGTATCATTAAAAAGCATATTACCTCTACTTTATGAAAAACATGATATCATATTCACACAGCTCTTAGTTTGTATACGATATCCGTTTAGTTTCGTGTTTCGTTGTTTTCTAGGACGCACTGTTTATGCAGCTCATTTACGAAATTTGTTTAAGGGAAGGGAAGATGTTCAATTCTTGTCCGGACACCAACATTTTGCCTTCCCCCCAAAAGAGGAAAACACAACAACGAATTAAACAACCATGATTTATTCCTGTTATCTACATAATCAATATAAAGTCAACCATTGATAGCTCTTACTACCATGTGCAAGAAATCAGTGTGGTAATTAATGAATCAATGTTTTTTTATTTAATGAATCTATTTTTTCAGACACGTCAAAAGCAAAACTATCAACATGAAAAAGTCTATGTACTTCCTTTAAAATGTAATTACTTTTAGAATGTGATTTTATTGGCTCAACGCCTGCTAATACATCCATCAAGGAAGCAACAGAGTAGTCACGAACGGCACACTCCGATATCATGTAATAGAGATGTTATAATACTATGATAAAATACAACTAGTTCATTGTTACAGGATTCTTGTAAAGAAGCAGTACCTACTAATATATTTCATTTAATCGTTGAAGAACACCAGATTTATGACAAGGGGTAAGTACTTTCATTATATTTTTTGTAATATCTAATGCTGGATTTTGCATCCAAAAGATATGAGTACTACTTATTTGAGTTTTTGTTTCTTAGTTTTCCACGCAATCATTGACAAGTCTATCCAATGTAGATGAATACTGTGAACCTGTCAGGATGTATGTGAAGTTTGACTTGAAGTATAATTTATTATCACTGACCTTCTGTATATATTTTTTAATAACTTTTTGCACATAACAAAATATTCCAAATGACTTTCAACTTAAAATAAGTAGAAGAAAGAAGACGACAGAGAAGGAGAATGATCAGTTGGTTCTATTTCATATCATTAAGGAAATACTTGCTAGAACCGTTTAAAATGTTATTACATCTGTTTCAATGCCCTGCTGACTACACTGTGAAAAGGTTGGGCAATATTTTGTCAACACTTTGCCCAACGTTGTGCCAATAGTCAACCCAACCATCTATTGGGCAATATTTTGCCCAGTGGTATTGGTAAACGTAAGTACCCTACTTAACACGTGCATAATTGTTTCGTATTTTGACAAAAATTTGGGCAAAGATATGACCCTTCACCTGCCCGACTACGGTAGCCCACTTGTTGGGAAAATCTTGACCAACTGTTGGGCAAAAAATGAAAATATTGCCCAATAGATGGTTGGGTTGACTATTGGCAAAGTGTTGGAAAATATTGCCCAACCTTTTCACAGTGTATCTTGGAATGACGGGACGAGGGGTATTTCCATGTTATATATATATATACATGTATTGATTACCCTGTTTATTAACAAAATAGCACTTTCATTTCAGGGCCCATAGCAGTATTCTAAAATGAATTGTCTCCCGTTGTTGCTACCGATTCTTGCCCTACTGATGGTGATACGTTCACCCGCAGTCCGTGGTGTATCAGTTGGTGAGTATTCTATTATTATTACGTATTCGGCGTCAGCTGTGCCTGGGAGGCAAAAAGCAAAAAAGAGTCACTGTTAACCATCGGGTCTCATTTCCTGACATGACTGATTGGGGATGTGCAGGTGGACCACTACACCGGGGTTTTCCCCTACTATTATATGAATAGTGCAGTGGGTTCTTAAAGATAAAGACCAGTTATGGTCATGCGATTGCATTGTGAAAGAAACGTTGTGGAATCGATCAGAAAAGGTTGATCATCTAGCATATAAGTATTGGTGTGTACTGCAAGGTTCTGGAATCATCAAAATGATAAGAAATTTAGCCCAGTCTTCGTAAAGTTACAAGCACTGTACACAGAAAGATGTATATGGGACTACGCACACGTGCGCGACACTGGCGTTTATCTCTCACACACCAATAGATAAACTTATTTACCAAATATATCATGTTAATGTGATCGTTTATGAGAGTTAGTTTATCTGACAAAAAGGAGTATTCTGACTTACGTCATGGGCTGAAATAGCGCCATCTACGCTTTCCTAATTCCGACATAGCAGTAGCAACGAATTGGATGTTCGCACCGAAATCTTGTCCTAAATTACACCTGTTATTGATACGAAGCCAACCCGTTTGCAACAATAAGGAGGCAAGAAGGTTCGTTAATTCGATATATTAATGTATAACGAGTATAAATAGTATAAATAATGAGAAATGATGATATGAATGTAATCTAATATGCTTAAGTGATAATGAATGGTGTGTGTAGTATTAGTGTATGCACGGACACGTATGATACCGTATAGTGGACGTTATATATATGCAAATTAGATGCACGTAAAACAGGTATACGATATATACGATATAGAGTGTAAGCTAGGGTGCTACGTAAGGCAATGTTAATTGTATGCACGTAAATAGGTATACGATATTAACGATACGAATGACGTGTCCGCTATAAGAAGGACGCAGTCATTGATATGCGTTATGCTAATAAGTCTTTGTGATTCAAACTATCTACCACGAATATTGGTCACGTGACTTGAGTGAAGGTATTGTTTATAGATAATTGCATATACACAAATGATAAGAGACAAAGAGAAGAAATTCATTTGTTATTAATCACTGCATTTAATAGGCGAACTGATGATATTATTTATACACATGTATTCGAAAATGCCTGTATGAACAATTACTTATAATCTGTTCTTTTTCTTTATCATGTTTTGTTCATACAGTTTTCACGGAGCAAGTGTGATGGAATTAGTTGACATAGAATAAATTAGCAAGTCAACCCTACTACGACTTTTCATTGACTGTTTCTTCAGTGAAAACTTCACTTCACTACGACTTGCAACCTGCGATGACGTCGTGATTCAGATTACGTGATTTGGTACAAGATGTCGGAAGTGGACATGATGGGGGACAAGGAGAAGGAAAACCCTGTTGCTGAAGCTGTGGACACAAGGTCAAAGCGAGAAGTCAAACTCACTGAGAAAGGTCTGCAGTATCAAGCTGAAACAAAAGGGAAGGAATTTAAGAGATCCATTAGTGCTTGGCGTAGAGCGTCGAATAAGTTAAGAGCTACCTTGAGCGACATCAGTGATGTCAAAGTTATTCGACAAGGTAGGGACGCTCTGCAGCAGGTGATGGACAACGCCATATCCGCTCAAGAAGACCTTCAGATTCTATTGGAGTTGGCAGGAATCGACGATGACAGCCATGAAAGGCTCGACAACATCGAACAAGAACACTCAGAGCTGATGAAAGGAGTACAAGAACACCTCCTCGAACAAGAATCGTCAAGAAAATCTAAAGTTTCATCGAAAAGACTATCATCCTGTCAAAAATGGGTGAATGAATGCTCGTTTGAAAGCCAGGATGATGTGCCGACTAAAGATGTGCCGACCAAAGATGTGCCAACTGAAGATGTTCCGACTACAGAATTGCCGACTAAAGAACCCTTGTTAAATTTGCTGACTCAGCTACAGATTAGTCGCTTGCCACTGCCAGAACCAGATATCTTTTCTGGGGATCCACTGCAATACCCTAGTTGGAAACAGGCCTACGACATCTTAATGGAACATCAAGGTATTCCTGCAAGGGATCGATTCTTCTACTTAAAGAAGTATCTACGTGGCCCACCTCTCGAACTCGTGCAAGGATTTTCTCTGATACACAATGATATGGCATACAATCGAGCTACGAGTGAACTAGAACAGAGATATGGTGATCCATTCATCATTTCGAATGCATTTCGTGACCGACTGGATAACTGGCCAAAGATACCTACAAAGGATTCCAGAGGACTGCGTAGATTCTCTGATTACCTACGACAATGCCAAACAGCAATAGAAAAGATCGGCAACCTCCGACAGTTAGATGACGAACGTGAGAATAGGAAACTCCTATCCAAACTTCCCGATTGGCTTGTTACTAAATGGAGCCGACGAGTCTATGAGCATAGGAGGTCACATGGTACATTTCCTTCATTCGGTACCTTCTCATCATTCATTGAGGAAGAGAGTAACATTGCATGTGACCCAATCACGTCCATTGGTAGCCTGAAGGAGGACAAACCGAAACAGGACAGAGGAAAATCCATGAGAGCGTTAACTATGAGAACCAGCTCCATCCAAGATGAGACAAAGAGGCCAGAACGGAAATCATTCTGTATATTCTGTAGAAATCATCATCACCTTGAGGATTGTCAAGCCTTTGTCAATCAGCCTATGTCCGAGAGGAAGAAGTTCATAAGAGAAAAGGGCTTGTGTTACGGGTGTCTCAAGAGAGGTCATCTGACCAAAAAATGTCGAGTGAGAAGCACATGCAGAGAGTGCAACAAGCGTCATCCTACGCCACTACACTTTGACAGAAGACCTTCAGAAGAAAGGGAAAGGACATCGAACCAGGAAGAAATACAATCTTCAAATTCACATACACTTGTTAATTCTAACGCCACAAGTTATGTGAAAAGCGCGGCAATCGTGCCAGTCTGGCTGTCTCATGAGAATATGAAGGAAGAGAGGCTCGTATACGCACTATTAGATACTCAATCGGATACCACCTTCATATTGAATTCTACAAAGGATGCCTTAGGACTTCATGGACTGAGGGTCAACCTTCTTCTGTCTACAATGTCGACCAAGAACGAAAGGATTCCAAGTGAGAAGATTAAAGGACTCACAGCTCGAGCCTTTAACAGTGAAAAGGTGATACACCTTCCAGCTGCATACACTAGAGACATAATGCCAGCCAACAGAGAACACATCCCCACTCCTGAAGTAGCTCGCTCTTTCCCACATTTGGTTCCAATTGCTGACCAACTTCTGCCTCTGAAGCACTGTGAAATAGGATTGTTGATCGGCTATGATTGTGGAAGAGCTCTGACTCCTCGAGATGTGATTCCCTCCCAAGACGATGACGGTCCATTTGGAATGAAAACTGACTTGGGATGGAGCATAGTGGGTGTTACAAGTCAAGATGAACAGCACTACAACCCCGATGATCACGTTGGCCACAGTCATCGCTTGACAGCACGTGAAATACCCGCTGAACTAGCTGAAAGAGACATGTCCATCAAGAAGAGAGTAACGTTCACTCACAACGTTACAATCAAAGAAGAGATCAGCCCTTCGTCTGTGCTGAAGCTGATGGAAAGAGATTTCTCAGAGAGCAGAAGTGAGGTACCATTTTCGCAACATGATACAAGATTTATGAGAATCATGTCGGAGAATGTCCATATCACAGATGATGGTCATTACGAGACTCCTCTTCCCTTTAAAGAAGATGTCGTCAACCTTCCCAACAACAGATTCATGGCGGAAAGGAGATTGAGTCATCTAAAGAGAAAGTTTCAAAGAGACTCTGAGTATCATCAGAAATACTCGGAAAAGATGGATGCTCTCTTGGAGAAAGGATATGCTGAAAGTGTACCAGAATATGACAAGCAGAACGGCCAAGCATGGTACATTCCCCATCATGGGGTAGTACAACCCAACAAGTTACGAGTTGTGTTTGATTGCAGTGCAGAATTTGGAAAGGAATCTCTCAACAAGCAGCTTCTTTCTGGACCAGATCTGACTAACACACTAGTGGGAGTACTTTGCAGGTTCAGACTGGAACCAATCGCATTTTGTTGCGATATACGTGAGATGTTCTACCAATTCAAGGTGAAGGAAGATCATAGGAAATACCTACGGTATTTGTGGTGGAAGGATGGAGACTTTCTGCAACAGCCCCATGAGCTAAGAATGACTGTCCATTTGTTTGGGGCGACGTCGTCTCCAGGATGCTCAAACTTTTGTTTGAAACAGATTGCCAGCGACCATGCTATTGAATTTGGAGAGGATGTAAAGAACTTTGTACATCATAACTTCTACGTGGACGATGGGCTAATATCTGTTCCTACCAAAGAAGAGGCCAATAATCTGATCTCGAGAACCAGAGAGATGTGCAAGAAAGGAGGCCTCCACTTGCACAAATTCATCTCAAACACCCAAGAAGTGCTGGAAACAGTTCCGGAAGAGGATAGAGCAAAGGGCACTACCAAGACTAATCTCCTACAGGATAAGCTTCCTTTGCAGAAGGCACTTGGGGTGCAATGGTGTGTGGAATCTGACACGTTCCAATTCAGAGTCACACTCGATGACAGACCTCTAACCAGGCGCGGAATACTGTCAACCGTGATGTCGATCTATGACCCTATGGGATTACTAGCCCCGATTGTCTTACCTGGTAAGCAGATTCTGCAAGAGCTGTGTAAGATGTCTGCTGATTGGGACGACCCTCTGCCAGATCATCTCAGAGAAAGATGGGAGAAATGGACAACTGATCTGCATAATCTTGACTCCCTATCAATACAGAGATGCTACAAACCTGCAGACTTCGGTGAGGTTACGACCATGCAGATGCACCACTTCTCCGATGCTAGTTCCGAGGGATACGGCCAATGCTCATACATGAGAATTAAGAATGGAGAGGGAAGAGTCCACTGTATCCTGATGATGGCAAAGTCCAGGATTGCCCCGCTCAAGGCAGTAACAATACCCCGTTTGGAACTATCAGCTGCCGTTGTTTCCATTAGGGTGAGCACATTTCTTCAGCGAGAGTTAGCCTTGGAGGACATTGAGCATATCTACTGGACAGACAGCAATGTGGTACTTGGATACATAAACAATGAATCGAAGCGGTTCCATGTGTTCGTAGCAAATAGGATCTGTGAGATCAGACAACACTCAGAATCATCGCAGTGGAAGCACGTTCGAACACAGGACAATCCAGCAGATGGAGCTTCCAGAGGGTTTACCGTTGACCAACTCATCACTTCGAACTGGTTCACTGGCCCAGATTTTCTATGGGAAGAGACGGTTCCTCGCGCTGATGATCAGGAGGAATTCGAGGTTTCACCAGGTGACCCCGAGGTGAAGAAGTCTATGGTGAACGCGACTGTAATGGGTGACTCCAAGTTTGATCTGAGTCGCCTAGACCGATTCCCGACATGGTATAGAGCAAAGAGGGCGATGGCTTATTGTCTGCTGTTCATCACAAGACTGAAACAACGTTGTCAAAGAAAACGTACAAGACAGGCAAATGATGACTCAACTTCCCAAGGCAAAGTCTCGGTGCAGAATCTACAACAGGCAGAAACTGAGATACTGAGACACGTCCAGAGTGAAGCCTTTGGGGAAGAAATAGAAATCCTGAAGTCAATCCAGAGGAAACAGGATCTGAATGACAGGCAGAGAAGACGTCAAATAAAGAAAGAAAGTCGTCTCCATGGACTTGACACTTTCCTGGATAAAAAGGGAATTCTAAGAGTTGGAGGAAGAATTCGAAGGGGAGACGACTCATATGACAGAAAGCATCCCCTGATTCTCCCACAAAGAAGCCACGTAACGGACCTTGTGATACGTCACTGTCATGAGTTGACTGCTCATCAAGGAAGAGGCATGACATTGAACCAGATAAGAGAGAATGGATTTTGGGTTCTTGGAAGCAGTAATCGAGTGGCCAATTTCATACGAAAATGTGTCATATGCAATAGGCTACGTAGTCCCGCACAATTACAGAAGATGTCTGATCTACCGTCTGACCGTGTGTTACCTGCAGCACCTTTCACTTACTGTGGCATCGACTGCTTTGGCCCATGGGTGATAAAGGAAGGTAGAAAGGAGATGAAGCGATATGGACTCCTCTTCACATGCATGCCTTCGAGAGCCGTGCATATTGAGACACTCAATAGTCTGACTACAGACTCATTCATTCAGGGATATCGTCGCTTTGCTGCTCTGAGGGGTCCAATACGTCAACTGAGATGCGACAGGGGAACGAACTTCGTTGGCGCAGAAGCAGAGTTAAGGAAAGCGTGGTCAGAAATGAATCACGAACATGTCAAAGGCACTCTAATGAAAGAAGGATGTGACTACGTACAGTTCACTTTCAACGTCCCCGCGGCAAGCCATATGGGTGGAGTATGGGAGCGCCAAATAAGATCTGCCAGGAGAGTGCTTGAAACTTTGCTGTATCAATCGAGTAGACAACTCAATGATGAATCACTGAGAACACTGATGTATGAAGCGGCTGCAATTGTCAATAGCAGGCCGCTGACTGTGACTGACCTGAACGACCCAACATATTTGGCTCCTCTTACGCCAAATCATCTCATAACCATGAAGTCGAAAGTCTTACTTCCTCCACCAGGCAATTTTCAGGACGCTGATTTGTACTCCAGAAAGCGTTGGAGGAGGGTACAACATCTGATCAACGAGTTCTGGGATCGTTGGAGAAAGGAGTTTCTCCAGAACTTACAGACACGCCAGAAATGGACTCGGCCCCGACGGGATGCTAAGATTGGGGATATCGTCATCATGAAAGACGAGAACTTGCCACGAAATCAATGGTCCCTAGCAAGGATAAGCGAGGTCTTTCCTTCTACCGATGGACTCATTCGTAAAGTGAAGCTCGTAAAGGGTGACTCCGAACTTGACGACAGCGGTAAGCGTAAAGGACCTGTGAAAGAACTAGAGCGTCCGATACACAAACTGGTTTTGCTGCTTCCGCGTGAAGACCAGGACGGATTCCCGACCAAGGAGCCTTGAATACTGTAAGGTAATTAATATCCCTCACAAATAGGTTTTGATAGATTTAAGTAAATATAGAAATCTGAACATAAGACTATCCAAAATTCGAATTACCCGCAAAATCTGAAAGTCTAGAATAAGACTAGTCAAATAATCTAATTGAAGTTTTAGAACCAAGAATATCTGTAATTGGTCTGTAACAAAGACTATGCTGGAACTGTAACTACAGACGCACATCAGCTGAAATGAAGTCTAATTGAACTGAGTAAACTCTTGAACTAATTGATCTGATTGAACAACAACAAGAACTCTTTTTGTGGATTGACGACATTTCCGAATGAGCTGTAATGACCTTTATTGCTGTTTGTTTTTTGTTCCCTGTTTGAAAAAATGTAATCTTATCAAATTGGAAGATCGAGCATATGACAACTATATTTGTAGAAAACGGAAATTAAGTTGATATACCTCATTTTATCGCATTAATTACCTTGCAAAAAATTACAATGTGATTGCACTTATAAGAATGTATTTAAAGGGTATTTCAGTTCAATTTCATCATTATGCTTGTATGTATTGTATACATGAATGAGCATTAGATGTGAACCTGAATTGAAACCCCCCTTTTGCAACGTAAATTCATGCAGAGTATTTGAACTGAGAGTTGATCCAGGTTATTTTCTCGATTTCTAAATCCAGTACTTGCAAATACAGCTAATTGCTAGTCATAAATGGTGAGTTGCAAGGTCTGAGTGTTTGAGACTCGCGGTTAAATTTAATTTAACTCAGATGCTGTAATAAGATACTTGGTACAAGCTCTGTACTAGAGATGAAGTAATCTCACGATACAATTTGAACTGTAAATCTTGAATAAAGATTTGTTTTCCTGCATGCGCAATTGATCATGTACGTTTCAAGATAAGTAGAAATTGAAATTTTGAGATGTAGATCTATATGTATACATATATTGATATATTTTGAACTATTAATGTTGATAAGGAACAAATAATCCAAGTCATTTCTATGAAGCTAAAAAGGGGTAAATTAATTATTAATTTAAAGGAGCCATGTTAATGTGATCGTTTATGAGAGTTAGTTTATCTGACAAAAAGGAGTATTCTGACTTACGTCATGGGCTGAAATAGCGCCATCTACGCTTTCCTAATTCCGACATAGCAGTAGCAACGAATTGGATGTTCGCACCGAAATCTTGTCCTAAATTACACCTGTTATTGATACGAAGCCAACCCGTTTGCAACAATAAGGAGGCAAGAAGGTTCGTTAATTCGATATATTAATGTATAACGAGTATAAATAGTATAAATAATGAGAAATGATGATATGAATGTAATCTAATATGCTTAAGTGATAATGAATGGTGTGTGTAGTATTAGTGTATGCACGGACACGTATGATACCGTATAGTGGACGTTATATATATGCAAATTAGATGCACGTAAAACAGGTATACGATATATACGATATAGAGTGTAAGCTAGGGTGCTACGTAAGGCAATGTTAATTGTATGCACGTAAATAGGTATACGATATTAACGATACGAATGACGTGTCCGCTATAAGAAGGACGCAGTCATTGATATGCGTTATGCTAATAAGTCTTTGTGATTCAAACTATCTACCACGAATATTGGTCACGTGACTTGAGTGAAGGTATTGTTTATAGATAATTGCATATACACAAATGATAAGAGACAAAGAGAAGAAATTCATTTGTTATTAATCACTGCATTTAATAGGCGAACTGATGATATTATTTATACACATGTATTCGAAAATGCCTGTATGAACAATTACTTATAATCTGTTCTTTTTCTTTATCATGTTTTGTTCATACAGTTTTCACGGAGCAAGTGTGATGGAATTAGTTGACATAGAATAAATTAGCAAGTCAACCCTACTACGACTTTTCATTGACTGTTTCTTCATATCAATTAGTAGGCGGTTTCCTGGCAATTTTTTTATCATCATGTATTAGTCAAAACATATTCTTTCACATGATTGGTAATAAGAGCTTCCATTTCATTTTTTGAAATTGGGGCGTTTCCAATACTGGTCTTTACCTTTAACATGTAAAGCTGGTGACTCTCCTCTACACAGCGCCTCCATTTAACGTCCATCTGCCTGGGGCCCTGGGTTGGATGATATTAATAATATTTAGGTTTTATATAGCGCTTTATAATACAAATGTCTCTAAGTGCTTTACCAATATACTATTACCCCGGTCATTGGATTCAGTGCTTGCCCGCACACACTGTGTGCACAATCTCCACTCCCTGGGGACCATTCCAGTCAGACGTTACTTGACGCTCAAAAACTGTTTGACCATCCTACCGGGTACCCACGATCTTTGATTCAACAGGCAGGCAGGCAATACCGACTGAGCCAACTCACCTCCCCAGTTTACCTACTACATATTTTATGCAATCGTTTTTAAGCCAGACTTATTCCTCATGTTAATGCTCGGTATCGTGTCATGACCTAGTGTCATCATACAAATTAATTTGAATTCCTCCTTGTGCTTTGTTTTTGTTAGCTGGTTTGTTTATGAAATGTTTTACAAATACATTTTAATTACCTTCATGCTATATTTTGCAGGTCTTCTGGGTGCACCAGTTGGTCGGGAAGAGGGACCATTACGGTCACAGTGATTTAGTTTGCTTTCCTCTTCCCCGGCAGCCAACTGATGCACTCAGAGGACCTCCAAGAAAATTGTGCATTTGTAAATAATGTTATTATTATTATTAATGTTAGTTTACCTATATTTTCATTGTTATATTTTTTGTGAATTGCCGAATAAATTTTAAATAAATAAATAAATAAATAAATAAAGAGGCTTAAAACGATTCACTCATCAATCTTTCATTCTTTTTTAATTTATAAGTAATTTCAGTTGACTCTATAAGCTTTGATATGGATATGAGTTACGCCTATACAAAAAAAGATGTTGTATTGCCCTTTACGTGCCAAAACATGGGTCGGTCGTTCGGTCGGTCGGTCGGTCGGTCGGAAACCTTTATTTTCTCCTTCTTCTTCTTCCTCTTTTGGCTGATATTTTTTTCAGTTTTGAATGCTTTAATATTTTTTCTCTCTCAAAAAACAGTAATTTTTTTTCTTCTAAAAGCCGACCGTATATTTCAACATTTGTTGGTCGGTCGCAAAGGGCGATACAACATCTTGTTTTTCTAGGCCTTATGGTAACAATTGTCCGGTAGCGGAACAATGATCGTTGATCCAGTCAAAGACATTCCATCATTACAAATCTGTCAAATTACTCTCTGCAATTGAATTCTCATTGAAATTCTTTAATTATCTATTCTTTTTTTTTCTTTTTTCAATGAGCAGACGACACGACGGAGGCTTCCACAATTTGGAGTACAGATATGCAGACAATGCAGTATAGCACCGATGGTGAGTGCCGTTATATTTTACATGTCTCGTAAGCGTGTCAGACACTTCCGTTTAAATATGCTATGTAAGGGTGTCTCTCATGGTTGTTAAGTTACTACTAATGATGATGATTGTGATGTTGATATAATCATGTAATTTAATTGACATAAATTCAATTTTTATATTTCACATGCTCAAATGTAAACAAAAAACGAACAATATAGCGCAATGAATGATATTATATCTGGAAACGAAAATGCAATAATTTAGTTACATTTAGATACATTTTTAGATACATTTAGACACATTATTGATATTTGAAAAACTCCACAGTTCGAACATCTTTTAAGTTAAGTCTATTTGACTTGTGAAAATGAGGGGGTCATTACAAAAGCGTAGTTCGTATTTACTTCTTACAACTACAGTACGTCTTCATCTAAGTTGGTTAGGTATTTATATATAATCATCTATTAATAATAAAGCAGTGTTTTTAAAGTTGTTAACAATGATAATGATATTAGTAATAGTGGGGTTTTTTTTAATGTAAGGCGCTACTTGAAATCAATTGCTCAATGCGCACTAGAGGTAAAAAAATGAAACGACGTATATTTTGTACATTGATTTCTCAAAAATTACGATTAGTGTTATACACCTTTTGTCTCATGTTTATTTATTTAGTTTGTATGATTATTTTATGCAACATTATGGGTCAACGTACGATACGTTTATGTGATTATATTTTTCGACCCCTTATTATAGTTATTCTGTATTTAATTTGTTTTATTGATATAAAGGTCGCTTTTCTGTAAATATACCTTTTCATGAAGATTTTTTTCGATTGAATCGACGGTCATGAAATTGTTCTTCTTTTTAAAGTGTCATCAATTAAAACATTGCTATTCATAATATCGTTGATATTTACCTCTCCTTGTTTTCACAGAGTATAGTAGTATGATCTAGCATAATAATGCTGTATTTTACTCACATTTAGGACCAGCTGATTTTGACGTTCGCTTGGTTAATGGATCGAACAACGCTTCAGGTCGAGTTGAGATAGGGTACAACCGTACATGGGGAACAGTATGTGATGATGGATGGGATTTGAACGACGCCCATGTCGTTTGCAGAATGCTTGGGTTAAACAACGCGTCAAGTGCACCAGTCATGGCTGCATATGGTGCGGGTTCTGGAAAGATTCATCTTGATGAAGTTGAATGTACTGGATCAGAACTCAGCCTCGAATACTGCATCAAGAATGATTTCGGAGACAATAATTGTGATCACAGCGAAGATGCTGGGGTGACCTGTGAAGGTAATATGACCGTTCGTTTCATTCTTTTGATTCTACCCATCGTTTGTATTAACCAACTACTGCATTGTCTAATTCTCTAAAACATCGACATATAGCTCATTGACCATTGATTACTAGATATGTTAAAGCAGGACATGTAATTCAAAAATCCAAAGTTGTTTATAATATGATTATGTTGTGTTTTAGGTCGTTGTTTTTTTTATTGATGCGAAAAGCTATGCTGAATACTCAGGTATAACCCTTAGTTCAATAATATTTGATATGATATTAATATGATATTCGATTAAGGCCAATCAACGATAAAATATCTTTATAAACAAATATATACCTAGCAAACGCATTTGTTATTACGTTTTGCTCACAGCTTCCAAACAGTCCACTAGATGGGGATGGGTTGAATAAGTAATAATGTAAAAGGTAAAAATGCTACTGCTAGAACTCTTGCCCATGCGAGCTGGCAACTGATATTGTTTGACAGTTTACAATAGGATTGTTTACTACTGTAACAGTATCAGTCTCAAAATGCCTTGAGCAGACGTTGTTAGTTTTAATGGTACTTCTATTGTTAGCATACCTCCTCTACTTCTACACATGCCAAGAGACAGTGCCTTACGCCCCAAGGGGTTTATGATGAAATAACTACCCCGCTGTCGAATCTTTTCTGTTCATATAATCAAACCGGGTTTATTTTAGTTTTTTTTAAAACTTATGCCAAAAAACGAATCGATACACTTAGTAAGACTCTACGACTGTTTTGTATAATTTACTGGGTGTAAGACACAAATCTGTTAAAATAATCTACGACTGTTGTTTAACATTCCGCTTTTTTAAATATTTTTTGTACTATAGATTCGCCAGCTTTCCAACCTCACATTCGGATCCCGAAAACAAGAATTGGTGAGAAATTCTCCTGATTACCTTTTTTTAAAAAGTAAACTATAATCTACCTATTTTGTATAAATGACAATATGTATTTCACAGTCTTTCTCGTTTAAATCATTATGAATCGCTGTATATATATTCATGGTCACATTGTTAGCCGTCACTCCCCTGCGGTAATCGTTTACATGCTGTCGTGATAATAGCCAATGTTATCCTGTCTACATATCAGCCTGGGAAATTAGATCTGTAATGTTAATACTAGTTGACGGAACGAGGCACAAACATGATAAGAGATAGGACTGGGGTGTATGTCCGGATGGTAATGCCAGCTTGGAATAAGAAATAAGAAAATATGAAACAGCTACACAAATTAATAGGATAAACAGAGACGGCCGATAGCAGATTTGTTGAGGCAATAATAATGATTTCTTTTTAAATCCACATTTCGGGAAATAACCTAACAAGACATGACAGAGCTTGTCAACCGTAGTCAAACACTTGACTTAAGCACACACAAAAGAATAACCTGTATTAAATTGTCCTCCCTTACTCCTGTTGTAGGGGACGAGCTTGAAGTTCGTTTGGTTAATGGATCGAGCAATGCTACAGGTCGAGTCGAGGTACGGTACAACGCCAGTACTGAGGTATGGTACAACGATACTTGGGGGACAGTATGTGATGATGGATGGGATTTGAACGACGCCCATGTCGTATGCAGAATGCTAGGGCTCAAAGCGTCTAGTGCACCAGTCCGTGCTGCGTATGGTCGGGGTTCTGGATACATTCTTCTTGATGAGGTTGAATGTACTGGATCAGAAAGCAGCCTTGGAGACTGCATCACGAGTAAATTCGGACATCATGACTGCACTCATTCCGAGGACGCTGGGGTGATCTGTGAAGGTACAGTGACAGGTCGTTTCATTCTGTTAATTCTACCCACTATTACTAACCACCTATTGCATCGTCTAATTCTCTAAAACGTTGACATAAAGCTCGTCGATCATTGATTACTAGACATGTAATAGCAGGCCATGTTATGCAAAAATCGAAAGCCATAATTTGTGGTTCATGTTGTGTATTTGTCTGTTTGTTGGTATCAGAGGATATACTAAATAGGGTAAGACCCTGAATTCAATCATATTTGATATAATGGTAATTTGGTGCTCTCGTATAGGGCTTTTGTCAGCCGAAATGTCGATTCAGGTCAACGATAGTTAAGCATCCAAAGATACAAATAGAGATCTAGAAAATTCTTTTGTAATAATACCTATTGCTAGCACTGAGCTTCCAAAAATTCTACTTGATAAATATTGATAGAATACGAAAAACGAGCATCACTTTCACTCTATGTAAAAGGTTGAAATGCTACTGCTGGGACTCTTGCTATATAAGGCATGCAAGCTGGCAGATGATATTTTCTGAAAGTATACAATAGAATTATTGACTTTTGTAACAGCATCAGTCTCAAATTGCCTTGAGCAGATGTTGAGGAAAATATCACAAAAGTTGTTTGTGCGCAACCCCCCCCCCCCCAAAAAAAAAGGGGGGATTTCCCTGCTCTCTTTCTAAAATGGTGGGGAAATACCAAGCAAAAGCTTGATGATGATAAGAAAAAAAACCCTTTCAAATAGGCATTTACCAATCCGGAAAACTATCGCGTTCAAGAACACAAGCCTTTCCTAAAGTTCGAATAGGGATGTAATATTGTGCTGGTCTCAGATAGCAACTGCTAACAAGAACCTAAACTTTCTATTTGATGCTCCTTGCTAGCGATCATTTGATAGAAATCATATTGAAAAAAAAATATAGATAAAAGGGGGATTGAATTTGTGAAAGTTTTAATCACACAACCATGTTCATAATGAGAAGTATCAACATTATTATTTTAATCCTTTTCCTCACTCGATGACCCTCCTACTACAAATCAACGAGTTACTCGTTATTATGATGTAGGAAGTGCGGTGTCATGTTTCCTTGTGTGTCACATGATCAGGTGGAATAACCCTTCGACCCTGAACATGACACATTGCTCCAAGCTGGATCACTGCATACAGCATATTCTCTGTCTCTCCTCGTGATCCAACAATGGCTAATTGGGAAGTTGTATCGTTTCGATTACTATTGTCCATCATTCTTCTCCCTCATATCAATGGTGTATCAAATATAGATTCAGAACCAGAGGACTATGTCACATCGAGCTGGAGTGAAATTGACATAGGTAAGCATACGTTGAATGTTTATAACTGTTAATGGTATTATATTATTAGCACATCTTCTCTACTTTTTCACATACCAAGCGACAGTGTGGTATGACCAAAAGGGTTTACAATGAAATAACGCCCCCTGTCGAATCTTTCTATTCATACAATCTTACCAGGTTTATTCTCATTTTTGATTAATAATTTATGCCACATCATATATCGATACACTTGGCCAGACTTTACGACTGTTGTTTAGCACTTCAATGTTTTCGCCTATAGGTCGGTCAACTAGCCGACCTGAAGTTTGGAGCCCGAGTACACCGAACACTGGTGAGAACTTTTCCTCTTTGATTACAAATCTATAGTTAACTATAACTCTGCCCATTTCTTATCAATGTCAATAGGTATTTCAAAGACTTTCTCTTTTAAATTATTATAAATCCCCGTATATATTTATATTTATCTACATTACCCATTCGTTCTCATGTTTTTGGCCTCCACTCCCCTGCACACATTTGACAAGCTGCAGTGATATATTTACAGACAATGTTATCCTGTTAACATCAGCCTAGCAATGAATCAGTAATGTTAATACTAGTTAAAGGACCGGGGCACAAAGACAATCAGAGATAGGACTGTGGTATATGTCTGGATGGTAATGCTAGCTTGGTAGCAGAAACTGCCGATATGATAATGATTTTCTTTTTAAATCCACATTTCGGAAAATAAAACTACAAGACAAGACAGAGCTTGTCAACCGTAGTCAAGGACTTGAATTAGGCACACACAAAAGAAGAACCTGTATTAAAATCTCCTCCCTTACTTCTGATGTAGGGAACCAGCTTGAAGTTCATTTGGTTAATAGATCGAGCAATAATGCTTCAGGTCGAGTCGAGGTACGGTACAACACCAGCAGTGCTTGGGGAACAGTATGTGATGATGGATGGGATTTGAATGACGCCCATGTCGTATGCAGAATGCTCGGGTTCTTCAAAGCGTCTAGTGCACCAGTCAGTGCTGCATTCGGTGCGGGTTCTGGATACATTCTTCTTGATGAGGTTGATTGTACTGGATCAGAAAGCAGCCTCGAATACTGCATCAAGAGTACATTTGGAGAACATAATTGTGAACACAGCGAAGATGCTGGCGTCATCTGTACAGGTATGATGTAACCCTGTTTGTGAAATTCGAACATTCTTAATACGCAAGTCTTGTTTTTTTCTTCTACTATGTCTCCTCTATATCCCTCTCTTCAATCTTTCCTTTCTTTCTCTCTTTCTCTCTCTCTCTCTCTCTCTCGCTTACTATATCTTATCGTTTCTCGTCTTATATTAATATCAGCTTCTTTGTCTGATATCCTTGTATTCCCTTACTCAAACATGAATTCATGATATATCATTGAATTTCAGAACCTATCTCTCTTGAAGTCCACCTCACCGATGGTCCAAATAATAACTCGGGAAGAGTTGAAGTGCGAGAAAAAGGATCTTATTCTTGGGAAACTATCTGTGACGATGGCTGGGATGGTAGAGACGCTAATGTTGTATGCAAAATGCTGGGGTTCTTCGGTGCAGCATATGCACCTGTGCAAGCTACATACGGTGAAGGGGTAGGAGACATCTCACTCCGTAATGTGGATTGTATTGGGACAGAAAGCAATCTGGGAACATGTTTCCACGATAGACCTGAACCTTTTGACTGTGCTCATGACGAAGATGCCGGTGCTGCCTGCTTGGTTCTTATCCAAGGTATAATGTGAAAGGAATAGAATAGTCCTTAAATCCATCAATATGCAACTGTGCCCTGCTCTTTTTGTTTGAAAAAAAATTATCATGTGACTATAATACATTATATAGATACCTGAAAATGATTTTAAAACAATGTCAGATATATTTGTTTAGTTCACCTATTTAGGTTTTTGTATATATATTTCATAATTTCTCTTTCATGGACATTTTGAAAAGATAATTCTGTAAGCTCGGCACCGTCTTGGGATGGGAAGTAACAAGAGAATAAGAGAATCGAATAGCTGATAGCTAGATACAGGCTTAACATCTTACCTTTTAACAAATTGATGATAAAAGATCTTTGATTTCATGACAATCGACAATGATAAGCAGACATCTGTGTTCTAGGAAAGACTTGCCTGGTTGAGCTGTAAGACTATGATTTATGAACATAAAAGATTCCAGAAAAACGGTGAATTGGGGGGGGGGGGGGCGATACGAATTTTCATTGGCAGCTGGTACAACAGGCACGCAAACTCCTTTCTTAAAGGGATCGTTTAACAATGTTAAATCTGAGATACACGGCCCTACGTGTTATCAGTGTCTGTGATATGGTGTCATATTGAAGCCCTACAAAAATCGCGCTTTAAAATGATCAAGAAGTGCCTCAAAAGTAAAAATATTTGAGTGACCGGTTTGACCATACTCGTTTTCCCAAATAGACTGTAGTGTTATGAAAGCCGTTTGGCAAACGATTTTCAAAAATTGTAATTCCAATCATAAATATCTTGATAATCAGACAGGCGATCGGCTTGTAAAAGTCATGGAGTTCCTGACTGACCTAAAGGTTTATAATTATCATTGCAGCATGAGCTAAATCCAGGATTTTGTTTCAGAATCTGAGACAAAGTTACAGGATCCCTTTAAAGAATAACAAAATATCTATCTTCGAATCATAGTCTGATGTTGGTTCTGGCTTGGTTCACGTATTTAGGTTTTGGTTAGATATATTTTAACACTTTTCTTTCATTGTAATTTGAACAGGTTATTCAGGAAATGGATCATCGTCCGGGGGTAAGTAAATAGAAAATAGAAAATAAGAGAATCGAATAGCAGATAGCTAGATGCAGGCTTAACATCTTACCTTTTAACAAATTGATGATAAAAGATCTTTGATTTCATGACAATCAACAATGATAAGCAGACATCTGTGTTCTAGGAAAGACTTGCCGTATTGAGCCATAAGACTATGATATATGAATATAAAGGATTCCAGAAAAAACGGTAAAGGGGGGGGGGGGGGGGGGGGGTTGGGGGCGGTACGAAGTCTCCTTGGCAGCTGATACAACAGGCATACAAACTGCTTTCTTAAAGAATAACAATATATCTATTTTCGAATAAATGTCTGATGTTGGTTTTGGCTTTGTACACCTATTTAGGTTTTGGTAAAAAATATTTTAACACTTTTCTTTCATTGTAATTTAAACAGATTATTCAGGGAGCGGGGCATCGTCCGGGGGTAAGTAAATATAAAATAGAAAATAAGAGAATCGAATAGCAGATAGCTAGATGCCTGCTCAACATCTTATCAATTAACAATTGCAACTTGATAATAACAGAGCTTTGATTTCATTACAATCAACAGTGTCAAGCAGAAATCTGCACGGAAAATTGTTCCGTTGAGCCGTAAAGTATCATATACACATATCAAAGATTCCAGAAAATACGGAACGGTGGGGGGGGGGGGGGGGGAGAGAAGTCACTTTGCCATCAGATAAATCAGCCACGCATACTGCTTTCGAGAATAATAATATACATAATGTATTTTCGAATCATAGTCTAATATTTGTTTTCGTTTGCTTCACCTATTAGGATTTGTGTTACCTATATTTTAACACTTCTCTTACATTTTTATTTGAACAGACTTTTCTGGAAGCGGGACATATTTCGAGGATGGTAAGTATTAAAAAAAAATCAAAAAAAAAAATCACGTTGCTGTTAGCTAGATACCCGCTCAATGCCTTACCTTTTAACAAATTGACAAATTGACGACAAATCAACAGTTAGAAGCGGAAATATACAGGGGTACCTGTCCCGTTGACCCATACACGTGTGATGCATACACACACACACACACACACACACACATATATATATATATATATATATATATCAACAATTACAGCAAGAACATGACGTTGGGGGTGAGGGGAGGGGGGGGGGCGGAAAGAGGTCACATTTGCCAATTAATACAGGAGACACACATACTGCTCTCTTAAGGAATAACAATTTTTTTTCTTTCATAACCCTAGTGTGTGTTTAGTATGAATATAGCTCATAACATCTGTTATCAGAAGGTTAAACTAATCAGTATACTGTAATTTAAATGTTTTAATCTTAAATTGAATATGAAGATGATGGAACATTCAAGCTACAATGTGGAAACCTAACTTCGACCACGGATGAAGGTCTCACTACATCATCTTCTGTCTTCATCACCCCACGCGTGAATGGTTCCGTTGACAATCAGAACTTCTCTGTGGGCTGTACGTATACTTCGGACCATGTATTTGACTACGGAGTCACTTGGGTTGCCTGTGCTGCACGAGATGATCTGGGAAACTACGAGACATGCGATTTCACGGTCAACGTCAAAGGTACGTATCAAAACGGAAGAATAACCACAATATTATCATAAAATTATTTCAGCAATTCAGTTGACACTCGTGTTTTAATAGAGTATTTCAGGAATTGAAGAATATTATAGTTAAACTTTGGTATAACAAGAAAATATAGTATACTTTCCCAATGCCCGAGCTCCGTTTCATGTGCATGACAATTCCTGAATCGTAGTTGCCAGTGCTGCAACTTTACAGTTTAGTTAATTTATATTTTTATTTTCAAAATATTTTGTTGAATGTATCTAACTTTATAACCCATAATCGGTTTATCAATTCTATTGTGTTTTTTTTTTTTTTTTGGGGGGGGGGGGGGGGAGGGTTTGCAATGTTGGGGTCTGTAATTGGTCAAGAAAGTGTAAGATCCAGTATTAGTAACACTACATTGCCAGCAAGCCCCAAGTTCTCCATTTCAGTGGTGTTGGATGGTTCAGCCATTGAGAGGAGCCACTGGTATTATGGTACGGGGAGGGTACTACACCGGTAATTAAGTGATGCAAGATCACACGGCCATAATGTAAGAGGATATGTGGCAGGGGTCGTTTTACTTTCAAACTAAAATACATTAAACATGACCATTTTCTTGTGGTTATTTTGTAAACCATGTATTAGGCCACCACTCACTTTATGTTTTCTTATCCCAAAATCAATATTCCAAGATGGCGACCCTCCCTGTTTGGCCTGCCCTGACGTAACTTCCGCCACGGACCAAGGTCTTCGTACATCTTCCCACATCACCATCGACCCTCAGGCAAAAGACAACACTGATCGTAGTCCGTCTGTGAACTGCTCTCACACATCCAGTGATATCTTCCAGTTTGGAGATACCAATGTTATCTGTAATGCTACGGATGAATCAGGAAACATTGGGACGTGTACGTTCGTGGTTACAGTGCAAGGTATGATCAAATAGATACCAGCTAATATCCTCCTTTAATAGTATGATACAACTTTTAATCTTGTGGGTTCGTTCATGTACTAAATAAGTAAGCAAAACAAGGCAGTTGAACTTCATATTAATTTAGGATTTTTGCTACGTACACTATAACTCCCATCGTTGTAGTTTGTCTTCTTGTTTTTTCGCAGACAGGGAGCCTCCTATGTGGGAATGCCATGTCCAAACAGCCATCGCGGATCAACGTCAAATTGCTATCAATGCTTTCATCCCATCTGTGTCAGACAACTTAGATCCCGATCCGTCCGTTAACTGCTCTCACACATCCATAGATCTCTCTCATCTCGGAGACACTAGCATCACATGTGAAGCTAAAGATTCTTCTGGAAATATTGCCCCCTGTACTTTTCTGTTTACTGTACAAAGTAAGTATACCATTGCGACCAGGCTTTGTACATTTATCTGTACATGGATATCTACTTATGCTATCATTAATATTTCTATTGATATTATTGATACTGATATTTTTATTTTTACTATTACCTCATGCGTACATACATTTCGTAAATCAGCGCAAATTAACCAACAAATAATCATGATAATAGGCACTATCATCATGATAATAAACCAATTTGATATTTGTGAAATGTTTGTTCTTACCTAACCAATATCTCCATGACGAAAGATGGAGACATCATCAACTATGAATACCAGTATCTTCTTTCTTAAAAGGTCATTTAGTGGCTCGTCATGGATTTTTTAAAACCCTTTACAGCCTATGTGATTCCCCTATTGCTTACCGCTACCCGATGGGGAGCTGATGTTTGACCGAATTTTGGTTGTTTCTTGATTCTTGGGGAGGGGGGGGGGGGGGGTGTAGCTCCCCACTCCCTCATCCCCCATTTCTGCTTCATATGCCAACGTTAATGTTTTTTTTCTTCTCTCTCCCTTTCTTTGGATTTTATATCTACAGCCCCTTGTATAGTTCGTAATCCGTGTATCAATGGTGATTGTAGCTATGAAGGATCAGGACCATCCAAATGTGCCTGCCATGGTGAATACGAGGGCGATCATTGTGATGTCATCCCTGAACCCACTCGTGAGTATTTTTTTCCCCTTAAAATATCGTGTCTATCAAGTAAAGATATAATTGGATGAATTTGTTAAATACCGTTGAATTTTAGTACATGTAAGTGGCTGATTACCTATCGGATGTGGCAGGTTAAATAGTGAGTGCCAGTAAATAACAATAACTTATAAGTCATATTGGTTGTTTCGTTCTAGGTTTGATCGAGGATTTTTTTTCCGGTATGGATGTTCATTATTTTACATTGTTAAATAGTTGCGGTACTTGCCTTACAGATTATAGCCACCCCGTATTAGTGAATTGATATGGGAATGCATTCAATCTGTTTCAAGGGCGATGGCAAACTTAACCTCACGATCTTACTCCTTAGAGCCATGATTTATTCACCAACAGCAATACAGTAATACATTTCATTCAGTGTGTTTACATATACAAGAAGAAAAACATTTGGTTGGTAAAGGGGCCAGATAATAGTACATGTGCTTGTCGAGCCTAACCCTTTAAACAGCTAAACATAGTATGTTGGTACAAATCAGTTTAGAAAACACAACAAAACAAAAGTAATGAATTTTACACTACAATCGATACTTTAACAAATACAAATACCTTAATGTCTTACAATTAACCAAATGATGATGTAAAATATAATTTGAGTACATATGCATATCATCATTTTTGATATTTCATTCGTGATTTGTTCAACAAACCTATTTCTAGACCTTGTTAATCTGACATTAATAGGTAATCTTTTCCAAAACTCACTGCCCACAAAAGATAATGAAAATTGGCCTTGTGTCGTTTTAAATTTTGGAAGACGTAATTGTCCACCTCCTTTTTGTTTTGTGGAATAGTCACGGCCAGTCAATAATAATATTAACAATAATAGTAATAATAATAATAGTAATAATAAGTTTGATTGATAAACCGCTCAATACGAAATACCTTCTCTTAGCGCTTTACAGGTATTATTACCCCGGTCATCGAATTCGTTCACGCACATTGTGCACCATCTCCACTCTCTGGTGAATATATATATATATATATACCATAATAGTCACCTTGAGGGTATAATTTATGACAATTACTAACACAAAGGCTTTCGTCATCCTACCAGTTAACCATTTCTCTCCTGGGTATGAAGTGGCAAATGTACATCATGAGATGATGGAGCGGATCCTTATCAAATGATTGGTTGAGAGCGTAAACGTGACTAGGCATTTATTTTGCTGAACACGTAATTTTACTAATGATCCGTCCTTAATAAATGCTAATGACCGGTCATTACTATAATCATGTTATAAACCATCATTTCATGAAACAAATAGTACATCATCTTATAAAAAAAATAATACACATCAATGTCATCATGTTTTCTTCTACACTCGGTACCTTCAAAACAGTCCAAACAACCTCGGCTATAGCCTGGGATTTGTTTGACTGTTCCATAGGTACCTTGTGTGGGTTGTTCTTACTAATATCCTCACTGCTGTGTATTATTTATATATTAATGCCTTGCCAAAAGACAGTAATTCCATATTGTGGATCGAACTCACGACTTTTGAATTTCAAGTCAAGTGCTTAATCCACTCTACTACGACACCTCTAACTCCTGTGATTCTAACTTTTTTAAATACAGTTCCTGTTGAAGTAGCCGGTCATCCTACGAGCCAAACGGTGAATATGAGCACCACCGTAGAGCTCACATGCAGCTTCAACAATGCTGAATCTTACGCGTGGTTCAAAGACGGCCATCGTCTACCCAACAAGACAAATCAAGTCACTCTACCTATACAATCCGTTTCAACAAGTGATATTGGATACTACTTCTGCCGAGGCTTTGGAAAAGAAAGATCTATAGATACGAATAAGGCATCTATCTACATTGAAGGTGAGGTTGAAGAATGTCATGTTTTTGTCTTATCTTTCCACCAATCCGCATGCCCTATATTGCAGGTCCGGAAACCCGTTTCTATTTATACATATATTGACCGGCAGGGTATAACAATATTTGGACCGCTTTGGGGTTATATTTTCCAAAGTGGTTATGTTCACGAGGAAAACTTTAGATCCCTCGCGGTCTGAAAACATATATTACATCCCCATCCAGTTAATATCAGTCAGATAGCCTCGATTTTAATTTGTTATACAACGATGGTTATTGAAAACAAAATAAAAAAATCACAATATAGTGTGTATACATTCTTTTCCGAAGACCTACTTGGTGTATCTTTCATGCGATGTGCACTGAAAGATGGTATATTTTCCCAAGGCAGTTCAACTTGAAAAAGTCGTTTAAAAGGAATAAGAAAAGAGTATAAGCAACAGGTAACACAGATGTTCCGGAAACTACAGTGATCTATACAATTATATTAAGATGCCATGATGAACTTACATGTAATTGAACATTTAATATTCCTTTAATCTTAAGTATGTTGAATTCCTGATATAAATGTAAATATTTGTATACGCCTTAAGCATCTCTAGAGATGGATATGTTGTGCTTCATAAATACTGTTATTATTATTATTATTATACGAACATAATATCTGACGTTTCTCTTGATGCAGGTGTGACCAACATCCAACTTTCTGATTTGAAATTTAATCTCACTTCGAATGATGACCTCTCTGAACAAACTTCCGCCCGCTATCTCGAGATATCACGCAACATCATTAATTATGTAAGTACTAAGAAATATATTTATAGGAAAGATTGAAGACAATTACATGCACACAGACATGACCACCAAACATTGGATCCATGCTTAGAAAGACTTATATTGAAATGTGCCGTAAAACAATGAGGCAATTTTGGTCTCAATCTCTACAATGAACATTGTATACCCTGTGATTACAAATTTAAATGTTTGAAAGATAAAAGGGCTTTGATATTTTGATCAAAGTTTGTGATTATTAAGCTTTATTAGCCTACAACGGTTGGAACATAATTTGAAAATGCTTTAAACTTTTCGCAGTAATACCACTATATCTCCCAAAATTATAACGCCTGTATCCAATCCATTATGTACCTTTTATGTTTACAGTCAAAAGAGAAATAGAAGAAGAAAAAAAATTAAAACAAAATGGTAATACACCATGATATATTTCTTTTTTTATAGGTTCTTAAAGGTCTGACGAATGATACCGCTTTCAAGGATATGTCACCATCGGTGGTATGCAACAATCTCACTCGGCAGGCAGTTGTGATTGCTGACCTGAATGTCTACATCAAGAATTCCAATCTGACTGCATTTGATGAACTAGATCTTGTTAGTCAAGCTTTTGATGGTTTGGCTAACAACTCGAATGGTTTTCTCGATGTCAGCAGTGTAGACATCGAGAACACGGGTAAGAATTAGCCAAGGGTCATCTTCGTTTATTGGAATTCAATATTGACTTCTACTTACATAATAATTACGAAAACATAGATTGCCACAGAATTATTTTACAACGACTGTTAAAGATTACACATAATTGTTGTCTGCATTTACAATTGCCATAGTGGCTCGGAAAAGAACGATGGCATGCCTTTAAAAAAAGTTGTTAGTGAATATATTTTTGCAGGAAGTTTAGAGTCTTAACGATATTGTTTGTATAAACAGACCATTAGGAGAACTCAAAACTGTCTCATTTCATCCAAAATGAACACAGTATTAATACCTTTAGTGCTCGCTCCTTATATATATTTTTTTCTTATATTCATGGAACCCAGCGATCTGTAAGAATATGACATGGACGTCATTGCGTTTTGGACTAATCAGTTTCCTAGAGGGTGAGAACGGAACATGGTTGAGCTCAACTGAAGTATGTCCATTCAACAGAGCAAACGGTAAATTAGAATACTTTTCATTAATACTCCACCTGCCTCTACCTCTCCCTCCAGGAAATTCAAATTTAATTAGTTAATCTGAGTCTAATTGAACGAACGGATCACTCTAAAAGATGTATTCATCTAATGTTCACAGAAGAGATTTGCATGATTATGAACATTAGAGGATTAAAGTCTTTACAGCTTCATATTTGTATTTTCTAATATGTTTTTTCATCATTGTTCATATTATTATCTCAAGACATTTCCCATCAAAATAAGTTATCCAATTTTTATTTCATGAATTTCAATAATAATATGGGGATAGTAAATGTTTGTGAATTTGTTTGACAGCTGACCAACCAATTGGTCGTGCCATATGCGTAGGTGATCTGATTTCACAGAGTACGTGGCGTCCCGATCCCATGGATAACTGTGGAACATTAAGAAATGTCAGTGATTTACTTAGCCAGCTTTCAAAGGTAATTTCAATATTGAGATATCTATTTCAACCATTTCAAGATTATTTTCTGTTTATTAAATTGTCACCACTGAGTCACGAGACCACTCATTATGAGTTATTCGGGATCGAAAGCAATCTAAGTTTATTAATTATTAGACACATCCTAGAACCGACATAACATTAATAACAGCCCCATGAACTAAACAGATGTGAAGCAGAGCATCCAGCGATAAGTTGTTACGCTCAGAAATGAGAACAGCTGGGTTTAATACCTTCTCTGATTGGAGGCAGAGTGTACGTAGGTTGTATTGTGATCAATACATATTTATAGAATAAAGAGGAATCCTGCCATAAAAGTAGAAACCCCCGGTCCTGTAGACAGGAGACTGATGTAAAAACAAAAAAAATGTACTGTATACTATTTATTGTGTTGGAATGACTCTATAGAACAACAATCACAAGCAGACTGATATTTGGATTTCATTTGTTCCTAGGTTATCGTTTCAGATAAGAATGTTCATAAGCTCAGTGAAAATGTCAGTTTGGCGACAAATAACACCGATGATATCGCCTCTGATGACATTTCTTCGATTGCAAATATAATTTCAAATATCAGTGATGTTGCACAAGGGAGCTACAGTAAAAAGGTATGTTTCTTAATTTATAATTAAGTCTCGTGAATGCAACACTTTCACAAAATATTTCCTCTAACTTGTCTCTTTGGTTTTTATTAAATTGTTGTGAAACGTGTCCAGTTAATGCGTACATATAAAGTTATTACGACTCAGTTTGTTTAAAATGTTTTTACTGGCTATTCCGGCTATTACTAAAATAAAGACCATTTGTAGGCCATTCATTGTGAATATTTGAAATTGCCTTTTGTTTGAGATATTGTCAAATCAGACTATCCACATTTTTTATCTCCAATCACTCCTGTGTTCAAATTTTATTTCATGCTAATATATTATGCTACTGCTTTCAAAACATGAACAGTAAGTGAATGTGCTTACTTGATTTTGAATAACAGGTTACTGAATCCATTGTTGCCATAGTGAGTAACATCGCTGAGGTTGACACAGAAACACTTGAATCAGCATCAGCCTCTGTCAGAGATGTCGTTAAAGCATTTGAGAAGCAGATCGACAGGATTAATGTAGTGGAAGGCGGAAATCTTACCATTCAACAACCAAATATTGCTGTGCAGGTACGTAGCAATTTTGATATTCTATGTCGAATAAAACGCCGATTATATCAGTCTTCTCTCCCTTAGCAGGGCATTAAAGACCAATAATTGTCATCAAAAAGTATGTAAGTAACTGTAAATATAGCTGACATCTACCAACACTCCTGAATAAGATATCTGTCAATAACACGTGCAAAGATGAACTTAATTTCCCGATTTTAATATTTCTTGGGTATTTAATTTCAAAGAGGGTTTGGCGCCTTGTAAATCCTGCATATATTCTTATTCATGGCAAAAGCAACGTTCATATTTGACTGTTTTCAAATTGTATTTTTTTCTGAACTTTTCAGGTCCAAAGTGTATCTACCGATGCCATCTCATACGGTCTAGTCCTCTCGTTAACAGGAGACAGCAATTCTGATCTGACGGACTCCGACACCAGCATCCACACTTCAAATGATGAAGCTACACAACCGAATAATATTGCTGTTGTCAACATACCATCTGCCATTTCCTCTGCTTTATCGTCGATATCTGGAGGAAGTGCCAATACTAGCATCTTTGTTCGCGTGATCTTCACTGTCTTTTCCACACCAGCCCTTTTCATTTCTAAATCATTGAAGAACACGAGTGAAGGAACCGACCGATCTGCTAACACACCTGTAATATCACTGAGCATCGGGAACGAGACGATAGCAAATCTGACAGAACCCATCAATTTTACTTTTACCCCGATAAAGGTAGGTCCTAAGGAATGTCTTTTTCGAAGTTTCTGCTCAAAAAGTGGTGCTTTCTCTCATCTTCAAGAATTATTTCCAGTGTTTTATTATTATTTCCGTATCATTCTAAAGTTTTAAAATGGGTAAGAATGTAGCCAATGAGAAGTGTCGAAATTGATCACGTTTGCGTACATTAATTACTTAAGTAAGTCCGTGAGAAAGTATTTAGTTGCGGTGAGTAAACGGAAGGGGGGGGGGGGGGTAATAGACCCTATGATCCAATTGTTCAGGAAATATTTTGCGGCGGCTCAGCCAGCCTAATTTGTGAGAAACTTTTTTTTTTTGGGGGGGGGGGGGGGGAGTGGGCAGGCCCGTCGACCCCCTCCCTCGTGGATCCGCGCCTGCTCTTAACCCATAGCCTGCCATGAGGCTGCATGCACGCTACCTATTGAGTGCCATGTGCGTGCAAGGGCGCTTTCGTAAGAGCAGTTATTGTTCATGCTCATTGGGCTGTGCTGTGTGTTTTGCACTCACCATTCATAGAACCTTCGCGTTAATCAGATTATCTCCAAAACAACCTGGCACAATGGGGTTTAGCCCTGTGGCACGATAAGAGTTAAACATGTATTATTTGTATCGTATGCGATTCTCTTGTAGCTATATCAGACAAGGGCATGCGTTATGTGTTTTTTAACAATAGTTGAACTCCTATAAAAACAACTATAGTCATATGCACTATATTTTATATTTTACTTCCCTTACAAGACTAATCTAACCAATCCGTCGTGTTCATACTGGGATGTTGGCTTTGGTGAGTGGTCTCAAGAAGGGTGTCATCTTATTTCATCATCTGGAATTAGATCACCTGATGATGATAACTGCGATCCTCCTTCTGATGAGAAACAGGAGATCGTTTGTGGATGTAACCATCTCACCAACTTTGCCGTCCTTATGGTAAGATCTTTCTCATCTTTATTTGTCAGAGCACGTTGCCTGAGAATCCCGGGGGATTGCATGTTATCTCTCCCCCATTGGAAATACTTTCATCTTTATTGTTGGAAGCTGCGAAGAATATTTCTTTCCAGGAAGAGACTTCCACATTTAACAAAAGATCCCCGGATTTTGTGGGAAAGGCCCGCTATTGTCCCTCTATACTAAAGCCCTTGTAAACACACAATGTAATCGCGGTCTATTTAAATTTCTATAGTTCTTCTTTAATTTTAGAGAACGTAGCGTCTGATTGAAGTGATTCCACTCTCGCTTATGATCTTCCTTGTTCTCTTCCTTTTCTTGTTTTTTTAATTTCAGGAGTGGATTTTTTGTTGGTGTGGGATTGGGCTTCTCACATGGGGTGTGTCCATCCAAGGCGACAAATTTATGACATCAATCTAAACTAACCTAGAACTCACACATATATGTTGGGTTTTCATATAGCTCTATGTTTTGGTTGAGTGCATATAATGAGCTGGATAATAACATTGGTGATAAATTTATTCTTTTTGTAGGATACTTCCAGAGAGGATGGGCCTTCTGAACAAGCATACGAAGTTCTAACGTACATAGGATGTTGCATTTCAATAGTAAGCCTACTTGTCACCCTTGCAACATATATATCAAATAGGTAAGAGTCTAGTCGAAATTTTTTTTTTAAGGTTATTCATCTCATAAATATCTATACAATTATAGTAAAGCGCCTGGATCATGATTTTACTTCAGATTTATTGTTTAAACACAGATGCGGAATCGTGTTGCGTCAAGAAATAAAACAAGACAAATGCTCCTATGTGCATCCGCCATTAATTCACTATAGGAAAAGGATGTAATTATTCATGACATATTACGATGTAATAAAAATAACATATAAACAATTGTCAACTATATAGATCTACTATAGCCCCAAACTGTAATTGGATTATCTTCCTATTAATACATTGTAGTAATAGTGTCATCATGTTTAGATATTGCAATAGCAAAGCTAAAAATAATAATTTCAGAAATTTACCTCTATGACCATTGACCTTTGACCTACTTACCAAAAATCTTATCATAGTGTCTTCCAATGATGCTACATACTATTACAAAGCTTGAACCCTTTATCTCGAGTGGTTCTTGATAAATTATATCGTGATTGCAAGGCTGGTAGTAGTGTATCCAGAATTTCGGAAATTGACCTCCGTAAACTTCGCCTTTTTGACCTATTAACCCCAAATCTCTAGTGGTTCTTGAGATATCAAGATAACGAGGCCAATACCTGAAATTGCAAAAGTTGACCTCTGTGACCTTTGACCTAGTTACTCCAAAATCTAATCGGATTGTCTTCCTATGGTGATACATATTAACATAAAGTTCATATCCCAGATGGTTCTCGAGAAATTGCAGTAATAAACGAGAAAGTGGTACAGACGAACTGACGGACAAACTGTGCATGCTGCATATTTTGCTATTGCCTTTAAAATCATTAATCTCTAGCACCAACATTTTATTCCTAAATAATAATATATGCACTACATTCATAAATGTATTAATCAAATACAAATTAACTTCATATTTTTGTTAACTGAAAGAGTTCTGAGGGGGAAACAGACCAACCAGATCTTCATTTGCCTGTGCCTGACGTTACTCTGTCTCTACGTATCGTTCATTGTCATGATGTCCCTGGACAGCGCCAAACGTCAATGTCATGTAAAGGCAGGTCCATGCGGGTTCATTACGGCGCTCGTTCACTTCTTCGTTCTATCTTCGATCACGTGGATGGGTGTGGAGGGATACAACACTTATCTCATCATCGTCAAGATCTTTGATACCTACATTCCACAGTTCATGGTCAAAGCTGGTGCCGTTGCTTGGGGTATAACCATTTTAAAAATCATTCTGAGTAGTTTTGTAACTGATCATTACAAAATTATATGTGTTTTTAATGGATACAGAATACAATTTATATATATTTATATATATATATATATATATATATTTATATTTATATAATTAAGAATGATTTATAGAATAAAATACATATGAAATTTACATCAACAACAATAATATTAAATTACCTGCATTTAAAAGAGTTGTATTCAAAGATTGCTATATGCATGCATGATTTCTTCTTCGTGAAAGGCTTTCATCACCATCTTTTACAAAATATGTGACATTTTTTATGATTATCTGAAACGGGAGGGTGAATTTTGCCGACGCTATTGATGCTTAATTTCACAGTATCATGGCTTTACAGCGTACAAGTTTAGGTTGCATGGTCGCATCTGGGGCAGGCCATTTGTGATGTCTACATAATCGTTCAAAACGGTTTTCCATTTAAATAAGATCTGTACATCTGTCGAGTGATCCACAAATTGATCGTTGTACTCTAGAAGGAGAAAAACACAAACGAGGTCTTTATACATCTTATCTGAATGCCTGCATGCCACATGACCCCATTGCTATGTTATCTTAGCGATTGTAATAACAATGACCATCTGCATCCTTTTATTTCACTTTGCTTAAATCACACGATGACGATTGCAAACAGGCATTTTATCTTAATCTCCTTTTAGGGAAAGAACTTAAAACTGTCCAATGACACGTAAAAATATAATTAATCATAATTGTCTTCCCCCCTTTTTTTAATTATTATTTAAGGTATTCCTGCAATGATTGTCATTATAACTGGAGCCATTGCCCAGGACAAATACGCGCACGAAGATCTGTGAGTAGTTTACGAACCCGTTAATGTCATAATCTCCAAACGGAAATATATTTTACAATGTTTTGTGGTATTATAACACGACCAGTTGGGCCTCTCGTGACAAGATAGTGGTTACAAAATAGAGCCATATCAAGACAATAGGACGGAGCATAGTGCTACGACAATTGTTTCTTATATTTATTTTTAAAAAAGTATTGCAGCACATTTGATTTTCATACAGCGTTCCATCTCCTTTTATAAATTTGGCTTCAAAGAGCAATCTCGGTCTTGAATGGTTCGCTTAATTAAAAACTGACATGACATTTATGTTACTTTTGAAACAAAAATACATGCCACAGGATTTGAAATATGAAATATTAAATATGACTGCAGGGCCCTCAGGGAGAACAGTATGAATACTGATGAGGCTACCCTGGGTAAACAAGACATATTATTATTATTATTATTATTATTATTATTATTATTATTATTATTATTATTATTATTATTATTATTATTATTATTATTATTATTATTATTATTATTATTATTATTATTATTATTATTATTATTATTATTATTTCAAATACCTGTGTAGAAATGGCTCAGTCGGTAAAGCCTCTGCCTAAAGTACCAAAATTCGAGTCCAAACCAGGGGGGGGGGGGGATGATTGAAGCTTGCGTGATGTGCTAACGAGCCCTACCCCTATTTCATAGATGCACACTTTGTTTAATTGGAGAACACTCCGTCCATCGGGTTGGATGTTAAATGGTGACCCCTTGTAGAGGCGAGTCACAAACTTTGCAAGTTTAGAACCAACCGCACTATTCGTATCTAAATGGGGGAAACCCCGGTGTAGTGGTCCCCTTCATACTCTCGATTAGATGAGACGAGGGTTACAGTGATTCAGTTTGCTTTTCACCTGCCAGGCACAGGTGATGCTAAATACCAAATAGTTACAAGATTGGGGTGTACCAAAGATTAGTGTATTATTACAATTTGACGCTGGGGGAACGTTTATCTTTCGTAGAATTAGTGTTATATGATTTTCATTTTTCTTTCTACATAATTATATAATTTGTTCTCTCTAATTGGTTCAATTTTAATTTTACTTGACCTCAAGATGTTTTCTCCAACTGTGGGCTCAAATCGGTGGTCTCCTTATTCCCATGACAATCATCATCCTGTTCAACGTCGTCATCTTTGCCCTCGTCGTCCGTCAACTGATGAAGTCTTCTAATGTCGCTGGTCGGGTCAAGAGAGAGGCCAAGGTGGAACGTAGAGAGAGCATCGAACGGGTTCAAAATGCAATCTGTATCCTCCTTCTGCTTGGTCTTACATGGATCACTGGATACTTCCTCATGATTCGAGAATTCAGTCAGGTGCAGTAGAAAAAACAATATCCATAAGAGAAGCATAAATTGATTGCATTTTCTACTGTAAAACTTGTAAAAGTTTATAGTTTAGGCCATGTAAAAAAATATACATGTTTAGCGTCCCCGCCCGCTTCCTTTTGGGGGGCCGCCTCCTACTTTTTTCTTTGTTTTTGGAATTAAATTAAAAAAAAAAAAAAATGTCGGCGGCCATCTGAAAACATAGCCCGACTGTCAGGGAAAATGTACCAAGCGGCCATTTTGAAAGAAAAAAAAAACGAAAAAAAAAGGGCCTCCTCCTACTTATTTTTCGAAAAAACAGGACGCTAAACATTTTTTTTAATTTTTTTTATTTGGCCTTATACAGGAAAGTTTAGAAATATAAAAACTAAAATACATTCATATCATATAATGTGCTCGAGGTTGAGTGTTCGAACAGGGAACCGTTAGAAAGACGTAAAACCGAGTATAAAGACGTAATAATACTTATGTTTCAACCGCCACATTTTCGTAATGATTATCTTTATTCCATGTTATCCCAGGTGATTGAGCCCATCTTCATTGTACTGAACTCATTTCAAGGACTGTTCATCTTCCTGCTCTACTGTGTTCGTAAACCAATGGTTCGTAAGCAGTGGGGACTGACCTGTCTTGCAGCAAGAGTCAGGAGACAAGATGTTACCACATCGAGTAGCGGCACGCATAGCTCTAAGAATACGTCCTCATCAGCAGCGACTGATGTTGTCCTTGTCAGCATGAGCAAGATACCGGAAGAGAAGAACATCGAGGTTTCAATTCATGTAAAGCTTTGAGTGGAAATACTTACCTTTTATGAAGATGATTTTCTACGTCTTCTAATTTCAATTAGGTTTGTGCGATTATAGTTGTTAAGTAATTTTTGTTATGGGAAATGAAATACATCGCAATTGGAACGAAGATACATAAAAATAAACTCTTCAAATATTTTCACCATGTTCAAAGGGATAATAACATGGGTGACTTGCTTTAGTTACCATTTTGACTCAATTAGACTGGGCTATCAATCCAATTGTAAAATTCCCTTTTATAATTTCCATTCGGAAAAAAAAACTTCCATGTATACAACAAAATTTGTAAATCTGAAGTTTAAATAAAAAAGATGACCAACATGTATATATTTCATGATTGAGCGATTCAACAGTGAACATATGATTTATTCAAAAGTGTTCCAGAGTGATTTAGAGAGCATTTCCCCTTAAATACGGATTAAAAAAAAGAAGATATTTAACAAGGAGGAAATCGTTGTTTGACGCGCATTGTGCATTAGGACTGAGGTCTCTATTTTGTTGTTGTTACTATAACTCTATCCCTATAGACCCTATAGAATATATGTAGTATTTAGTAATACCATAGACGGAATGTTTGAGTTCTATAAACTAACATCCGTCCTATAAATATATTACGTAACTTATCAATCCCCAACATATTATTAATTTCTGTAATCTGTATTATCTGTAAGTATTGAAAAGATGGGATAAACTATAATTATGGACTCATTGTTTTAAAACTTGTTATGCTTTTAAGCGACAAAAATATCTTTGACAGTGCGAAGTGTTTTTGGTGTGGTATAAATAGTATGTTTGAGCCCAGAAATTATCCCCAAAGAAATGTACATGCACTAGGCCCATCTTATTAACCTGTACCATTACGTGGGGGAAAATGACTAGATTTAATATTTCACCTTTTGTCTTCACTGAACTTATTAATGGTAAATTATATCGCTAATTGTTAGGTTTTTTTTAATGAATGTTTTCTTGTCCAATATTTCAAAATATGAATTAATGTGCACAGTATAATCATGAGATATTGAAAATGTGATATATGGAATACAGATGCATCAAAAATACTTTGATTTTAATGTTGAATTAACTTGGAAACTATCGTAAGATGCATAGTATATATTCAGTTTAGCGTTTTATATTACAACAATTACCCTCTCCACTATTTCCCACGGGTAACTAATCCTTTGCTAATCACCTCTAATCCCCTTCCTCCTATGATTCACAGACAACAACCCCTGTAATGACCCCCCTTAGAAGATTAATATTAGCTCGAATCCCCCCTGCTATGATTCACAGACAACAACCCCTGTAATGACACCCCTTAGAAGATTAATATCACCTCGAACCCCCTTCCTTCTATGATTCACAGACAACAACCCCTGTAATGACCCCCCTTAGAAGATTAATATCACCTCGAATTCCCCTTCCTCCTATGATTCCCAGACAACAACCCCTGTAATGACCCCCCCCCCCCCTTAGAAGATTAATATAACCTCGAATCCCCCTCCTCCTATGATTCCCAGACAACAACCCCTGTAATGACCCCCCTTAGAAGATTAATATTAGCTCGAATCCCCCTCCTATGATTCCCAGACAACAACCCCTGTAATGACCCCCCTTAAAAGATTAATATCGACTCGAATCCCCCTCCTTCCTATGATTCCCAGACAACAACCCCTGTAATGACCCCCCTTAGAAGATTAATATCACCTCGAATCCCCCTCCTCCTATGATTCACAGACAACAACCCCTGCAATGACCCCCCCCCCTTAGAAGATTGATATTAGCTCGAATCCCCCTCCTCCTATGATTCACAGACCACAACCCCTGCAATGACCCCCCTTAGAAGATTAATATCACCTCGAATCCCCTTCCTCCTATGATTCACAGACAACAACCCCTGTAATGATCCCCCTTAGAAGATTAATATCACCTCGAATCCCCCTCCTCCTATGTTTCACAGACAACAACCCCTGTAATGACCCCCCTTAGAAGATTAATATTAGCTGATTGTATTGCAGGCTATATTCAGGGTCGTAATATTTTTTTTGTGTGCAGTTATTTTAAAGATAGTTATCCTATGGGAGAGAACCGAGACCTTATTTTAAAGATAAGGCTGATCTTGCTTTTGTTCTTTATATCTAATCTTGTATTTTTTTTAATGTGTCCATGACAGTAAATTGATTAATTTAATGGGAAAGGCTAGGGCAAATTATATGTTGTTCCTATCTTCATATGTTGAAGCAAGATTGTTCATGTGCATATAAACAATTATCCTTTATGGACACAATAAAGAAATGAAATGAAATGAAATGAAATGAAATGAAATAATATAATTTTTTTATAATTTATTATATGTATGTACAATATATACAGATGAAATATACAGATACAGTTACCCACGAGATAAGATATAAACAATGTACAGTCAAAGATGTGAAGAATAGACAAAGTAAAGAGTAGATTAAATCAGTAAGAGCTAAGTACAAAGTTTCCAACAAGTGATTTTAACTCTCTAAAGTTAAAGCTTGTTTATAGCTAAAGAATTCCATCTCAGTTTCTGTGAATTACTTTAATCTTAAAATCCACAACCATTCTGCTTTTTCGCAAGTGATAATCATTAAATTTGTCCAGTATTGTATGTAAGTAAAGCAATATTCTTCACTTCTTCAAGACAAAAGGTATATTATTTCAAGTTTTAAATTAATTGATAAAGGTCAGTTATCTCAAGAATGCGATTAATGAGATACTGTATATATAATGTATCAGCATGTGCTTTAAAGGAAATATTACAAATAATTCCCAAAGATTATTTCTGGAGCAGCATAATTTCATCAAGTCTCTTTTGTACTACATTTCGCCATCCAAGAACTATAAAATTCAAACTTGGTAAGATTATAATTTGTTTAAGTTCGTTAATGACTGCAATTTCTCTTGGCAGAGTTCCGCAATGAGTACCTGAAAATCATGTAATTCTTCTTTTCAAATTAAAATTATTTTTATTGGCTTAATCAAATTCGTACTTTTTAAAGTATTTAATGCATTCACAAGCTTAAAAGCAAAGAGAATTAGTGTAAGAACATCTGGAATTCTAAGGTATCATTTTTTATAAACTATTTATAATAGAGGACTAAGGATTTAGCCTTGTTGAACTCCACAGGTAACAGGTTAAGTGAAAGATTTTAATTTGTTTACGGTTGTAAATGTACTCTAACAGTAAGACAACTCTTAAACCAATCTCATGCATTTTGTCTGATGCCAAGGTAAGGAAGTTTGTATAAAGTATTTTATAATTAACGGTATCGAATGTCCTCAAGAAGTCAATGAACAACTCGATGATGTTTTAAGATATTTTAAAGAGAATTATAGATTTTATTCATTGAGAGTTACGATGGCATTTCTGGTATAATGTTTGGCGATAATTGCCTGCAGTTAATTGATCTACTTTAAAAAATAAATAGTGATATTAAACCTCAAGCTATTTTCAACAAAGCTCACTTTTGCTCAAAGACCTCGCAGACCTGCTTGTGTGAATATTAAATATGAGTATATATCAAAGAAAGCCCATCCTACATAGCTACTTCTTTAATATTGTAATTAGTAATGTGCTGTTTCTGTTTGCAGATTGACATTTTTCAAATTAAAATGAAGTCATTTTATCGTCAGTGGTTTTACTTTCTTAAACATTTGGTACAAAAAGCAGAGATAGAGTTTAAGGGTAATTGATGTTTGTAATAAAGTATAAGGCCCGTTTTACGATTATGCGCCACTTTGTCTTAACCTATAGATATCGACATTTCAAAATCACTTTGAAATAATCAAAGTTATGATTTTACTAAGAATGTAATTAAACGGCAAATATAATACCGGGGCTTGATTTGTATCATCATCTTTGGTACTATAATAGTTCATTTGGAGTTTCAAGTAAATGAGACTTCAAATATGACTTCAAAACGTTTCTTGTTTTACACTCCCTCATTTGAGATTTTTAATATAATATTGAGATTAATTGGATTTAAGTGAAAACTTTTTTTTTAACGATAGATAGCAAATCACGTGAGAAGGTTGAAACAACAATCAGGGAACTCGTTGAGCTCGACATCATAGATCCGGTTGAGCATTATACGTCTTACATTATACAGTGCGTCCCAGAAAAAACGAAACCGAGAATTATCGATATTTGATCATAAAATCACAATTATAATTAATACATGACACATATTTAGTTACATCTTAGATCGAATCTTTGATAATGGTAGGGTTATCAAAGTGATCATACACCATGCATTTCAGCTTGGATACAGTCTCTGCTTTGGTCTCCTCACATCCACACAGACTGGTACTCATAGACTCAAGCATCTACAGAGAGACAGAGTGATGAGAGGGAGACATAAAGAGAGAGAGAGAGAGAGAGAGAGAGACAGATACAGAGAGGCCAAAAGAAAGAAAGATAGAATGTGAAATAGTGAGAGAGAGAGAGAGAGAGAGAGAAATTGGGCAAGATAAAAATATGAACAAGTTACTTCTTTTGAAGGAATGAAATATTGGAGAAAAAATGTACGGGTATTTCAAAACATATGTCATTAATATAAAATTAAGGGTTATAAATTGACATTAAGTTAATTCCTTGATCGTGTACTAAAACAGTAGCTAAAAGTGACAACAAACTTGTACATCAGTAAAAAGTGAGTCAGATTAAAAAGATAGATAATGCATGTAGCACATCATGTAAATATTGACTAAAGATAGATACATACATAGATACATGTGATTCACAGCATATGATAAAACAACATTCATTAAAATAAAAGCTCAACTTTTAAAGATTGACCAGGACAAACCCAGAGCATCTCAACTCGACTGAGAGAAACAAAAGAGGTTTGTAGTTAAAGAGAAGTTATTGTAGAGTAGAACAGGTGTATCCCACATTTTAAATTGTCCATGTGCCTTATATACAAAAAGGCCTACAGTATGTACTTCATTTTTCGCTAACAGATCATAGCATGTTTAACCTAATTTGTTCATATTTAATCCAAGGGACGCCTCATTTTCAGCAATTGTTTTACGGCCCACTTTAGGAACAAAGGATGGGGCCATTTCATTTTTATTTGCAGTCATTATAGTAAGATATTAAAATTCATGAGTTTCTATTTTAAAATGAATTGTCAAACCACTCAGCCATCTTGTTTTCACATCTCATTAAGAAGCTAAAAAGAAGCAAATAGGAAAACAAAATTGAGAAAGAAGAGCTGGATTGTCTGACTGATACTCACTATTTATACTGAGCAAACTGTGCTATAAGATGTGAAGCTATATAAAGCAAATATATCATTGTCTTGGTAAACTGAGAAATCAAATTTGTACGGTCTCCCTACATAGAAACATAACAAAAGTCGAATAATAATAATTATGTGAAGAGTATAGAATAAGAGGATACAGAGAAGAAGGTGATTAAAGGGTAAAGAGATGACAAGGAATTGGAAGCACAAGAGGTCGACGGACCTTACACTCTGAACTGATGATATGAGGGGTCTCACATCCTTCCTTCAACCGTTTTGAGAGATGGTATTTCTGGATTACTAGGAAACTTAAATAGGGCATACTGCCCCCAAGGTCCCTGGGGAGCATATACCCTATTTACAAAAACTTAAGATATCCCTTTGCTACATATGATTCCTATAAATTTTGGTTAGAATCTAGCCATGGGAAGAAGATAATATGCAAGTACTGCCACTGAGGAACTTTGGGGGTGCTGCCCCAGGTTCCTCTTTGGGGGGTACGTACCCTATCTGAACGAATTAAGATCTCCCTTGCCGAAGGAGGATTCCTTTCAAGTTTGGTTAAAATCCAGCAATGCATTGTTGAGAAAAAGTTGAAATATCAAATGTTTTAATACGGACGACGGAAGAAGACAAAAAGTGAACATTTACAACTGAAGCTAGCTGACAGGTTTTTTTCCAATTGCCATTAGGGATGCCGCTTTGGTCAGAACGTATTTCCAACAGTCCATACCATCCTGATGAAATTATTCAGCCATTTGAATGTATTATATTGTCTTTGAAATCGTGTTTGCTCATAATCAGATGTGTCTTTCATATTAGATTCCTTCTGAGGGAGAATTGCAGCCAAATAAAGTTTCAACCTTCAGATATACTTGATAATTCTTGGTTTACTTACAGCATTGATGATCTGAGATTGAGATTGAGATTGAAAAGGTTTTTATTGATTGCACTTCGCAGCCAGATGGCTGAATTATGAACAATTTACATTGGCAATGAATTATAATACATACAAATGTGGTTGACATTGTCACAAAGTATAATATACAGTATATAACAAAATTCATAACAAAGTTCATAACTAATATGACTAAGGCAATAACAGGCAAATTAATTCACGTTTAAAATATATTTTGTGAGGTGACACAAGAGTAGGTCAAAGGATGAGCAAGCAGGCCCTTTGCTCTTCAATACACGCTCTCATTCCTATACACGCTCCTACTCTCACTCCCGCACCCCGGACACTTTCATAAACACTCACATTTACACTCCCACACACACTCCCATCCACACTCCCATACACTAGCTAACGGTCCGCTCGCTCATCCCTGGACCTCTCTTTTGTCAAGGAGTGTCGGGTATTTAAAAAAAATAAACAACAAAACAAGTATGCTCCTTCCCGACTTTCGTAAATTGGGGGGAAATAAGCAAATGAATTAAAAACTTGAACACCATTTGATCTGAATTGCCATGTCATGATTGCTACAAAACCTTATCACTATTCAATGTACATTTTAAAAAGATATTACAAGTAATTATGGAAGCATAGAATTTAAAATTTAAAATGCGGAATGTAAAATGTAAAAATGTAAAAATGTAAAAATGTAAAAATGTATTCAGACAATGAGACACCGGACCATTCAACAGGTAGACAATTAAGATTTATTCATGCATTCAACAGGTCTATAAGGTATGGAATTGAGCTATTTCTATAGCGGTTCGTTTTACAATGAAATTGACGATACTTGGTCCTTCTTCGCAGTGAATAATCTACATTATTGTTAACAGGTAACCAATGTTTACAAAGTGGGTTGTTGACAAGAGATGAAGCAAAATTAGTGCATAATTGTTTGCGTCTATCTGACAGGGTCTGCAAAGAACACACTTCAAGAGCTTTGTCATAATTAATATATTGATCACCTAGTATGGTCCTACATGCTCTTTTCTAGATTCGTTCTAAACTTAAGATATGACTTTGGGTGAGGTTTCCGTTAAAAACAGGTACTCCATAATCCAATATTGGGCGAATATATCCCTTGTAAATTGTTACTAGATCACAGAAAGGCAATCTGTATGTTTTGAGAATACGAAGCATGAAAAGTTTTTTATTAGCACGGCATAAAAGG